TGTTCCTTAGCCGCTACCTTATAACAAGGTTGTCCTGTATTGTCTTTTACTTTGTTAGTTGGCTTGTTGGCTTGTTATTTAATCTTATAATTCTGATTTTAAACAAGTAGAGTTTGGGACAGTTAGTTTTGGAATAATGGTGGACTTAGATCCCTGTCTAGAACTGTATCGTTCACACTCATTTCTGTGAAACTGACACTGTTGCTCTGTCAGTCATTATCAGTTGGAGCTCTTATTTCTCAAAAGAAATCCAGCTCCTCACTAGATAATATTTTTATCATGACTTGTCTGCAGATATGAATCTGTGCAAAGTCATGAATCATTCTTTAATATACGAGCATAGAGACCATTATTGTTTCATTAAAGATTAACTCAAAACATGATATATTTGGATTATTACAGTATTGGGATTCGTCTTGGGAATACAATTTATGTATTCTTGAAGTCTGAAGTCAGGGTCACATTGTGAGTTTGAGGGGCAAGGGTGAATATTAGGTTAGGTAGGAATCAGGTGCACACTCACCTCTCGTCTGCAGGGATCAGACACATAGCTCTCTTAACCACTCGCACATATAATTGACAGATGACAGGTGTGAATCTTTACAACCCTGCATACTATTTGGGCTTTAGCTTCAGCCACAGCTGCTTGTTACTGTCATCAATTTAGGTTAGTAATCTGAGTGAATACCACAGGAAATTGAATCCTCACTGCAGCATTTCTAAATTGCAATCTCTTCAGAGGAGAGTTGCTTACATGCAAAGCCTGTTTTAAAACAGATATGTTTCGATCTCGAGTACATAGAAATACATCTGTGTGCAATGGCCCCACACCTGTGGATTTAGCCTTTGTGTTGTCCTCAAAATGTGCATTAGCATCTTGTTAAAGCTGTCATATTGCATAGTAAGGAAACAGCTGAAGGGACATGTTGTATAAAAAGTTAAGTTCCTGTAGCTCAGTGGTTAGAGCACTTGCTTTGCAAGCGAGAGACCTGAGTTCAATAAGGGACATGTTGTATAAAAAGTTAAGTAGCTACTAGTTTGTGTTTGCTGTTCTGCCGCTCGATTGCCTGAGACATCAAGTTGTGGAGGAGCTCCTTCTTCAGTTGAACATCGACAAGCCAGAGGCTCTTCTGTTTGGCTCTTCTCACCTCAGGTCTGACAGCATTGAGCACCTACAGTGATGAACACTCCACCTTGTGGAGGTGGTGTGTAACATTTATGTCTTGTTTCAACTCTTAACTGTCCTTTGAACCCCACATCTGTGCTCTGATCCGATCAGTTTTCCCAACCTTCAAAACATTGCCTGCTCCACCAGTTTCTCTTCTCGCAGGCCGCTGAGATCCTCATCCATGTGTTTATCATGTCCAGATCAGTCTAAGGTAAGGTTCTGCTCCAGGACTTGGAGGGGCAGACCAGCCAGATACAGAGATTCTTCCCACGTGGCTCCTGATAACCCTGCAAGCCAAAGTCCTAATCGGTAGTGTGGTCCCAACACACACTTTGGTGTCTCCAAGACTTGACACCAGATAATCTGTGCCTAATAGTTTCTGGAATTCTGGATCCCAGAGAGGATCGACTTCAAGATCCTCACTTGTATTCAAATCCCTGCACTCCTCTGCAACCCCTACCTCTCTGCCCTCCTCTCTCCTCAAAACAATACCTGTTACCTTCGTTCCTCCAGGTCTGGCTTCCTCCTCGTCCTCCGCTCCACTCTCGGTGGCCGTGCCTTCAACCACGATGCCCTGAGACTCTGGAATCCCCTTCCTCACTCCCTTCGCCTCACCCCCTCTTCCTATTTTCAGGTCCCTACTGAAGACCTTTCTCTTCGACTGCGCCTTTGGTCACTTTCCTCCTCATCCCCCGGCTCGGCCTCGGGATCCTTTACTGTGAAGCGCTCTGAGACGCCGTCCAGTGTGGAGGGCGCTATATAAATCCAAGTTGTTGTTGTTGAATTAGGGAATTTAGATATAGCTGCATATGTAGAATTCTCAGTTGTGTTTAGATAGTCAAGCATAGCATTGGGTTTCTGCATGTATCAGGCAACCAGCTTAAAACAAAACAAAATTTTTACAAATCACTTACATCATTCCATTTGCATCACCCTTTTATTAAGCAGCATCAGTTCAAGAATACAGTACAAACATCTGTGAGCTAACAAATTTTCCTCCTTGTATTCCTTACTCTGAGTAACACTTTATTTTTGGTAAATGATTTCATACATGAATATAAGTGTTAACAAAACTTATATCATTTATATTGCAGTCACTGAACATTCAGAGCTCTGCTCAATTTGTAACTGGCTGTATTAAAACTTAAATGTCAATTACCGAAACTGATTTGATTGGGCCCATGAACTTGCTGGCTTTCCAATTTTGTTTTATGCGGTGTTCCACTCAGTTTAAAAGTTAACTTGATGCTATCATTAAAAAGTCAGGAAAATAAATGATAGGTTTTACAAAAATTGGGTAGCATCTGACAAATGCCAGATATTATATGTGCACAGTTCTATTATCTATCAGCTACTGTAACTGGCAATATCCTAAGTAGCCACTAGTTAAATGCTATTTCTTTAATATTGTATTGCCAAAAGGAAACTGCTCAGATTGTTTATTATATACTCCAGTCAGGTAGAGTTTTTGAGTTCTGAGAATCAAACGTTTCATATTTCTTTAAAATATGATATGAATTTAGTTTATGCATTGCTTTCTTCCTAATATAATTTGAGAAAGAATTTGATCGATCACTTGATTTTTTTAAGTCACAATCGATATGAACTTTTTTAACATATTTACCAATTACATTATGCACTGGTAGAGTTATTCTAAAAGCTTGTCTCATTCACACTGCAGCAGACGATCGAGTCAAAATCATTTTAACTTAAAACTGAAGACTGCCCAGTTGTAATTAAAGTCTCCACCGCTTTAGCTTCTTGCTGTGGAACTCGAGTTCATTTCAAACCTGGACTTACTCTGCCATCTAATGGTGGAAAGTAAACCTACACATAAACAGTAAATATAATTGCTCCAGGCTTGTGTTCAAAACCCTCAGAACAGCCAATAATAATAAGAAAAATGCACTTGTCATACTGCTCAAATTACTTACTAATTACTAGAGAAACATGGCTGCTCCAAAATAGTAATCGTCAGTGATGTCCGTGAATCTGCCAGAAACATAACTGCAATGCTTTGTTAAAGCCAAATCCCTGTTAGTTTTTAATGCTCTTTAAGTGTTCGGAGTGCCAAAAAGCTCTTTCATAATATTAAAACATTTCCTTTAAAGAACGCTAGACATCTCAAGGAATCTTAAGGGAACACATTGAACAGAGCACATACCATCTGCGTTTCTATTTGCAACAGTTCAAATAAACTTCTAAAATTTCCACATTTTAAGGTCCAATGTCTGATGAATCTGCAATTATAGTGAAGACTGTAAATACTAGGTTTGCTAAACATTACTAATTCCAAGTTTTACGTTCCCTCACTATCAATGGAGCACAGTCACATTGTACAAAATGGATTTGACACAATATAAATTTCCCACTGATACATTTTGCTGAGATGTTTGCACTAGAATTCTGATGTCACGTGAGATAAAGAATCATCAACACAATCAGCATTTTAAAAATTTGATTCAACATCTGCTCGACTACACTGTCATGTTAACTTCTATGACAGACACACGTGCAGTGATGCAAAGTCGAGAAAGTAGATTGAACAAAGACGTTTCCCAAGAACTTATCTCAATAACAGATCACAGCTGTAGACCACAGAAATGTCATTTACAGAATGCAACAGTTAGGGGCTGGACAGTGTGGATTGCAATTGTAGACGGATATCCTTCACCTATCGTTCAATTATCATAGGGTGTCGGCAGCAAAGGTTCATTTTTTTTCTCCTTGGAAGGAAACTTGACCCTTAGTTATTCATCTATATCAGCACATTAAATATGCTGTAGTGAATCTGACAAGTGCAAATCGTAACATTGTATATTGGAAAAAGCAGATCCTAAATGTCCTTTTCTCATTCCTTACTTTACATTAGATAGATTTAAAGGTCTCCCTCACGATACATTTATGTCTTGATCTAAACTCACCTCAGAGTACATTCTATTACATAAACAAGACTTTTATTTTCAAACATCAGCTACCTGCATCACTTCCAAGTAGTGGTTAATGTTTCAATATTAATAAAGGCTGCCGCGTTTCGCCCACAAATAAACGGTCAATTCACTTTACAGTCTATTCTGTGAAGCGCTTTGAGACGTTAAGACGTGTAAAGCGCTATATCAAATGCAAGGATTATTATTATAATAACAATCCTTGCATTTGACATAGCACCTTATTAAGTCTTCGAGAGTCTCAAAGCTCTTCACAGAATATACTGTAATGTGAATCGACTGCACATATATTTAAAATTTTAAAGAATCATTATCCTTGGAAAGGGATCCGGCAATCAACTAACAACCAGGTTCCTACTTACTCCTAGGTAAACAGAAGTGTGCGTGTGTGGAGCAAGGAAATTTGCACAACCTTTCGCCTTCCCGGGAATCAAACCCAGGTATCTCACTTACGAGGAGTGTGCTCTAACCACTGAGCTAGAGGACTCCAGCTTTGGTAACTTTGTGCTGTTAATTCATCATTTGAAATAAAGACTTTCATGCCCCTGACTCAGATCTGGCTTCCAGGAAGTGAAAGGATAGTGCAGTAGCCCATTACACCACTCAAGTCCTTTCCTGTTAATCTGAAAATTTGCTTATGATTTAACATTTAACTCTGGAAAAAATCCAAAAAGAGCCTAATTGAAAGCCATATTGTTGAGCATACAAGACATTTTACTCTACACTTGATCTGTACTCTCTCTCACCAAGAAAGCATAAAGACAAAGTGTTGCATTCCTCAGCATTGACATCCCTTTTATTTTGGGAATCCAAAATGGAAGACTAACCATCAAAAGTGATTATCATGTTGATTTAACTCCTTTAAAAATGAGCAAAACTAACAGTTATGAAAGGAATTGGTTTATAAAGTATTGTCAGACAGATCACTCAAGCATACTAGTTAGCATTTTCATAGTAAAGTTGATAGATTACATAGGCGCGCCTTCACCATATACCTTTATGAACATTCATTGTTTCGGTACATGGGTAACAGATAAATGCCCACAATTAGATGATCAAGAACACATTTATTGATAATCAGGCATCATTTTGTTTTTAAAATAACTAAGAAACAAAATCACAATATTCCATTCATCAATTAACCAAGTATAACTCTGTGCCCAATGCACATTTAAAAATAACCAGCATACATTATTTGCCATTTCTACAGAAATGTTGCATGGCAGGAAATTTTCAATTAGTGTGCTCAGTTTGGATCAGTTGCACAATGGTCTGTATTATTTGGTCATCTGAAAGGAGAGATAACAATAAATTAATAGATCGAGTAAAGCATTTGTAAGGTCGATAACCTATGTATATAACTAGATATAAAAAGTGTACTGACCTATCCACATACTATTGCTTGCATTTTCACATTGAGCCTTTTCATTTACTGCAGACAATAGCAACACTGCCACACAGACTGTGCATTATATTGAGTTTGTTTGTTCTCTCTATTGCAATGGGGCCATGAATATGCACTGCATTAAAATACTCCAGTAAAAAGGTTTCTGTATATATAATCTGCTTCTGTAGATTGCAAATGATAAATGGGTTTACCAGCTTAATGATGCCAATGTTCATGTAACTTGCAATCTCATTAATATTTGGCTGAGATCTATAACTGAATACATCTAGATTTACAAAGATGGTAACTGTAAAAGGAAGAGAAAATCTCAAAAGATTTTACAGAGTCTAATGAAAATGTTGCATAGGAATTCAAACTGCACACCAGCAACTGGATTCTAAAAGTACAGAAACAGCGATTTCTGGATTAAATTTAGATTGTAATGAAAAGTTTAACTGATCATTTATTCCAATATATTAAAATAATTGCTTAATATATTAAACAGCTAAATAGTAATTGTTTTGCAGCCACTACTATGATAGCCCTCTCGATAGTGCAGTCAATGAAGTAAGTGTTAAGACATATCTTGAACCAGTGTCTCAGAGATTTCGGAATGGAGTTCCAGAAAGTGTGGGCAGAAAGGTTGAAAGTCTGCTTGCCGATGCTAGGGTGGGCAATGTGGAGGACATTGCCTCTGTGTTAACTCTTTTAAAAGCAATCCTTTTAGTCTCATTTACGTTCCCCTTCCCCATATATTTTCTTCAGATATAATCCATTAGAAATCACTGAAATTCAATCTACACAATATAAGCATGCTTACACAGCTAGAGTCAGTGATTCTCAACGAATAGCAATAAAGAAACAAAAAGTACCTTCAAGAAACAATTTTGGATCTTCAAGTTTCTTCGTGAGAACAGAGTCAATTAAGGCTCTCAGCTCCTTAAAAATGATTCCAGTCCTTACAGGAGCCTAATCAAAACAGGAATTTATAAAACAGGAAATACAACAACAAATTACATTTGTATAGCACCTTACACTTCAGGAGGTCATCCCAAGGCGCTGGGTAGTCAGGGATCCGAACCCGAGCTGGTGGTTGGGATCAGGAGCGGTGGAGGGCGGGAAGGCTAGGAGTAGGAGGCAAGGGAGGGGGCGAGGCGGAGGGACCGTACAATCAAAAATTGAATGCAAGTTGCACGTTTCTTGATTTTTTTTATAAACAAAATATTTAAGGCCTATTTGCTTCCATCACTCTTCTTTTATATTTCTTAAAACGGTTAGAAACATTCTAGTGCACTATTTTAATTGATGCCATTTATCCAATGCTTCTCTCAAACGATTTGCATGCACAATCATACTAATTACGACAATAACTTGCACTTATATAGGACCCTCCACGAAGGGTAGCATCTCAGAGCGCTTAACAGTGGCAGAGCCTGACTCTGAGACGGTGGGGAGGGTGGCCATAAGCACGGTCAAAGAGAAAGTTTTACAGGCAGGACGTGAAAAAGGGGAGGGGACACGGCGGAGGGAATGAGGGAGTATTTCAGAGTTTTGGGGCTGAAAGCACGACCTCCGATAATGGGGCAGAGGGTGCGAGGGATGAAAAGGAGGCCAGTGCCAGTCGAGCAGAGGCACCAGGTGGTGGATTGGAGAGTGAGGAGGTCAGAGAGGTAGGGAGGTGCCAGAGAGTGAAGGGATTTGAACATGAGTGTGAGGATCTTGAAGTCGATCCGTTTGGTGATGAGGAGCCAGTGGATCCTGGCTAGAACTAATGGGATGTGGGTATGGAGTTTGGTCTGGGTCATTATGCGGGCGGCAGAGTTCTGAATGAACTGGGTCTTCTGAATAGCGGAGCTGGGGAGACCGGCGAGGAGTCCGTTTGAGTAATCCAGGCAGGTCATGACACGTGCATGCATAAGGGTTTCGGCTACATTTGGGGTAAGGTACTGTCGGAAGTGGGCAATGTGGCGGAGGTGGAAGAAGGCGGTTCTGGTCAGGGACCGGGAGTGGAAGAGGAAGGACAACTGGGAGTCAAACTGGACGCCTAGATTGTGCACTGGTTCAGTGAGTGTGAGGGAGAGCCCAGGGAGGTTGAGGAGTTTAGATTCACAGGAGTGAAGATGTTGACGGGAGGCAAGGAGTATGGCTTCCGTCTTGTCCACATTCAGCTGCAGGAAGGTTGCACTCATCCAGGGCCAGATGTCTGCCAGACAAGCTGATAGAACATCGGTGGACCTGGAGTTGGTACTGGAGGAGTTAAAGTACATTTGTGTGGTCATCCGCACACATGTGGAAGTTTACCCCGTGTCTGCGGATGACGTCACCCAGAGGGAGCATACAGGTAAGGAAAAGAAGAAAACCAAGGATGGAGCCCCGGGGTACCCCCAAGTGATCATGCGGGTGAGGGAGGAGAAACCATTTGCCGAGATGAAATGGAGGCGGTTGGTTAAGTAGGACTCGAACCATGCGAGTGCGGTCCCACAAAATTAGGCAAGAACAAAGACTGAGTATGTGGTGCTCTATTAATATTTATTACTCTGCCTTTTCTATCCCTTTCAGCTGCCCATATTATAACTGTTTTTATCAATGCTTCATCCACACTGAAAATCATATGAATATCACAAAATTCTTTAAAAAAAAAGACCCATGCAAACTCACAATAGGTCTGCAATATTCTCCTCAGAAAAAGTTCTCCATTGTTGGTCTTGTGCAATAAGTTACAGTAATGCAGTGAACCCAAAAAAGAACATGTTGCTAAAGGGTCCAAATTAGCTGTGCTGTGTCCAATTGGCTGCTGTGCTTTGCCCCAAAATACACAGTCAATTCACTTTACAATATATTCTGTTAATCGCTTTAAGACGTCGCAATAATAATAATAATCCTTGCATTTGATATAGCGCTTTTCAAGTCTTATCGACATCTCAAAGCGCTTCACAGAATAGACTGTAAAGTGAATTGACCGAATATTTGTGGGTGAAACACGGCAGCCAATTGCGCACAGCAGTGTCCCACAAACAGTCGTGGATTGAAAATGACCAATTTATTACTGTTTTTGTGTTTTGGAGGGATTATTATTAGGCGTGTGGAATAAGGAAACTTGCCCAAGGTTTCGTCCTGCCTGGAATTGAACCCAGGCGTCTCGGTTGCAAGGCGAGTGCTCTAACCTCTGAGCTACAGGACTCCACAACGTGATAAGGCACTATATCAAATGCAAGGCTTATTATTATTTAAATTAAATTAAAAGAGCTTCACAACAAGACAACAACAAGATTTCATTTATAGAGCGCCTTTTACGTCGGGAGGACGTCCCAAGGCGCTGGACAGTTGGGTCAGGACCCGAGCAGGGGGGAAATGGTGAGGGGAGGGAAGGGAGGGAGCGAGGAGGGGTTAGAGAGTCGAGAGGGGAGCTGAAGGCACGGTAAAAGAGAAAGGTCTTGAGACCGGCCTTAAAGGAGGAAAGGGAGGAAGCAAGGCGAAGGCACTGGGGGATGGAGTTCCAGAGCCTGGGAGCTGAGAGGCTGAAGGCCCGACCACCGATGGTAGGGCGGTTGGGGCGGGGGATGTGGAGCAGACCGGAGCCAGAGGAACGGAGGGTACGGGCAGGTAAGTAGGGGGATAGTAGGTCGGAGAGGTAGGAGGGAGCGAGGCCGTGAATGGCCTTGTAGGTGAGGATGAGGATCTTGAATTCGATCCTCTGGGGGATGGGGAGCCAGTGGAGGCGAGCGAGGGTGGGAGTGATGTGGTCGCAAAGCCTGGTGCGGGACACTACACAAGCTGCAGAGTTCTGAATGACCTGCAGCTTGTGGAGGGAGGTACCGGCGAGTGCACCAGTGCAGTAAAGAAATGAATTCTTACCTGGAATTTTATCCAGCCATCTACCAAGAGCAATCTTTTATGGTGCTGGACTAGTATATCGCCTCCGAACAACAAGATTGGAAAAGATGAGATCTCAGTGGTCTCTCGCAGATATATCTTTCCATACTTTACCTAATAACAAAAGAAAGTCAGCACTATACACTAATTTTTGGTCAAAAATATGAGCATGTTAAAAATTAAAACTCAAGTCTTCACTATCTTATTGATATCCCAAATACATGATTCACTTCTCTGTATACATGCCACTAAAACCAAATGAAAGGATTGTTATTAAATAGATTCCTACTTGCCGCATTGTGAATTGATAAAGAGTCCTGAGATGGTAATCTTGTACTATATAATCCTGCCAATATTTACACCACATGATTTTATGGGTTACTTCTGGACGCTCAGTGCTCCAGTTGTACACTGTCACTTAATAAAAAGGGGATACACCTGGTCTACAAAGCTTACAATGAAACTCTTTCAAAGTTAACCTAATTTGGGATTGGATAATACAATTTATATTCTTCTCATCAACAACAACAAAATTAATTTGTATAGCACCTTTCAAGTCAGGAGGACATCGCAAGGTGCTGGGATGTCCTAAGGCACCTTCTTTATCATCATTATGGTAAAGAAGGTGGGATAGATTACCAGTGAGTAATAAACAACAAGCATTCTCCAAAATATATCTGTGCAACTGTAGGAATACAATTATGAACAGACAAGATTTGCAAATAAAGTCTCACTCATTTGCAATTCTAATTAAGTGATTGTTAACTTGTTTCGCTTTCAGATCCTGATTAATTTTAACATTATGTATTTTATTACAAATTTCCAGGAAAAGTTTTTTCTTTTCACATTCATTAGCTATCCCATTTAAGTATGCTCAACACACAACAACCATGATCAGCAGCTTACAAATGTTAGACATAAATATTCAGAAAATCTCCACCAGGATGTATTATACTGTGTTTTTTTAGCTATAAGTGTTCAAACTTTCACAGTGGCCTCCTAAACTATACATAGGTACACATACAAAATAGTTACACTGATGATTGCACAAATACCTTTTCCTGAAACAATAGCCAGCCATTGGACTGCAGGTCCTTGTTCACAGATGAAGGATGGAGGTGTGCTTTGCCTTGTGCAGTTTCGACAGAACATGCAATCTTGTCAGTAATGTCCACTGATGGGGTGTATTTGATTTTCCCAACATTATCATATAATCCTGCTGCCAATACAGCTTTAAGAAGTGAGATCTCCTGTTGTGACAAGTTCTTTTTAGGAACTCCAACTGATGACTCTCTATCCCAACTATGATGCTTTGCCCCTCTGGCTCCTGGTGCCACAAAACCTGCAATCTCAACTAGCCTGATAAGTTCTTGTTTAATATCCTGCAAGTTGATTTTTCATGAAAAACAAAATAAGCCACAATATTAGATTATTAAAATTATATTTACCACTTTATCACTGAAATTCTCAAAAAAGACATTCTTTTTATACTCCGATAACCTATTAAAATGTTTTCCAACAAACTGCAATTTAAATAATAGGTAACAACAAACAATTTTGCAAACTTTTATTTCTTTACTTTAAAAGGATAATGTTAACAGAAAAAGAACAAACCTGCATTGTTAGAAGTGCAGTTCGACTCAGAAAGTGCTGCTTACAGTAAGCCATCTCAGTACGATAACTAGTATGTCGAGCATTCTTCCAACTTAGAAATATGAAATTTAAACACATATGAGTTAGATATATCAAGAGTAATTGATTTCACTGTTATTATTGAATAGGTTACTAAATCAACATATTCTGAAGTATTTGCAAATGACACTTTATTGTGTTGGGACAAAACAGCTGTAACAAGCGCCCCGGGACACGACCCCACGTGAAGGACTCTAGATAAATGCAAGCTGTTGTTATTGTAACATACCCCAAATATGCATTGTAAAGTGTCAGGTGATCTGAGTTTGCTATTGCCATGGATGCCTTTGCAAGGTTTGCTTCATCTTTTCTACTTAATGGAGTAACAAATGGAGATTTTTCAGTCATGGCTGCAGCGATGGTGGCCTACAAACAGAACAGTAAAGCATTCAAATTAATCTCCGATATGAGAATAATCATGAACAGTTATCCAACAATAGGAGGACATTCAGCAATTACAAGCAATATTTGAGTGCAGTACCAGTGAAGTTTGTGATCAAATAAATGTAAAAAAAAAGATGACTATAAATCGCAATAAAACATAGGAAAACAGGACCGTCCACCACATTGTGTTTGTTTCACCAGTTTATGAGATCTAGGTAGATCTTCTAATCTCAATACCCTGCCCATTCACCTTAGCCTTCAATAACTCTACTATTCCAATTGATTCAACCTCTATAGCCTTCTAGAGCAGCAGTCCACATCTTCATAATCCTCTGAAAAAATGCTTCCTTATCTCTGTTGCAACTGTCTTGTTCTGATGTTAAGGTTTTGTCCCTATGTAATGGATCCCCCTACCAAAGGGAGGAGTAATCCACTATCTAACCTATCAATTTTTTCATTATCTTAAAAAGCTCAATCAAAACACCACCTAACGTCCTCTGCTCTAAGGAATATAATCTGTCTAAGCAGCCATTCCTCATAGCTAAGCACTTTTAGCCCATATATTTATTTAGTAAACAGTTGCTGGGTACCCTTCAAGGCTGATATCCTTTTAAGATTGGAAACAGAACCTTAAAAGACTCCAAATGAGACCTGAGCAGTATTCTATCGAAACTGAAGCAGAACTTCATTACTTTTATATTCGGAATACAATAAAGATAATACAACATTCATTGTGCTCAAACACTAATAGACAGGTAGAAATATTGAAAAAAATTCAAATAGTGTAAATCTTAATGGTTTCAATCTATAGCACTTACCACAGGATCCAAGCAGCCAAAGATAGCACCAAAAATAAGCATTTTCCCAATTTTCACATTAACTGGAAGGGCAGCGAGGTGCAAGCCCAATGGGGTCAGTTTGGCTTCGTTGATCTCACAGGCCCCAATCTTCTTCAACAGATTCATTGCATTACCGATGGACTGGGCTTGCGGTGGATCCAAGGCTTTGGATAGAAACTCTTCTGGAGATCCATGATTACACTTCTACAATTAAAACAAATAAATAAGCTAAAAATCCTACTGGGTATAAAGACAACATGAGTTGGATCGGATACAAAAGCCAAAAACAAGGGGGAAGAGGGGGCATACATTTCTGGCAGGTAAAGAATATTTGAAAAGACCTACTTTTGATTTTAATGCAAAGAACACTTTTTATTTCATGCCACATTTTTGTCATAAATTGAGCAAACAAGTAATTCCTTCAAAGAAAATCAACATTAATTTTAAATGTTCAAAATCACTCCAATACAGCGAGTTTTCAATCACAATTCTTTGTTCTGTATACCAATTATTCAAATCTACTGCACTGTAATGTACAGTCAATTAACGTAGTAATGAGTCTTTTCAGTTGCTAAACATTTGTTAAGCTATTTATATGTAAATATTACCATAATATGAAGGCAAAGTTCTTCCAGAGGCACTCGTAAGATTTCTGGGACTGAGTAATCAATGAAGCTGTGAAACCTGCAGGAATAAAGCATATAAAGTTATTCCTTAAAATAAAGCACCAAGAATAAAAGTCAAGAAAGCTCCACCCAATAACTAATATTAAAATTACTCATGGAAGTAAATCTAATTACAAAAGAATAAAAAAAAATTACAACTCAGAAGCTACCCCTCACCTTTCCTTTGTGTACAAACGGAAACAGAATCCCTCTTGCACACGTCCAGCTCGGCCTTGTCGTTGAAGAGCATTAGCTTTGCTGACAAATGTCTCCACCAAGGAGCTCATTTGACTACTTTCACGATACCTAAAATACAAATATAGTGCAACCCGTTATAGTACTGGTTAATTTATAATGCGAATTGGGCACAGGCCTCATTCAATACTGATGCAGGAGGCCATCTGACTTGCCTCCAATTCACCAGCTTCTTGATCACTGCTGTGACTTCTTCCACATGTGCAGCACACAAAAAGTGATGTGAACGGAGACCTGATGACATTAATTGGATATTTTGTTTTCCCCACACTTCTGGGCAATCAGATCACCACTGATGTCACTTCTTGAGTCACTCTAAGACAGTTTGGGGTTTCTGACTCTAACCACCTGCTTTACAGCGAGTGTCAACTGGATATGTGTACAAAGCATGTGCACACACCCGCAGTTCAAGTAAAACCATACAACTTTACAATTTTTGCAAGAAATTGTGAATTCAATTAATGTTCACTAAAATCAATGTCAAAATTATAAGTACACATATATTGCACAATTCTGAATTCATCAGGTCAAAGTTGCAAATAGTAGTCTATTCTAAAACACTGTGTTTATGTAACTGGTCATTATCCCAATTAAGTAGAGGAATTTCATACGAAAGGAATATTTTTCACCAACACAGTATTTTCCTTCCCCCTTTATTTAAATAGAATATTCATAGAACAAATTACTTAAGAAGTCAAAATTACTTAATAATGAGATAGTAACACAATTTGTTTTGAGTTTGAGAAATCTTCTACATACTCTCTCAGGTCTCACTGCACCATTCAGTCACTTGTTCTCAGATCCCAAGTCAATGTTGGTTTGGAGCAGAGCTCAGCAGAGCGAGCTGAGAACGGAATGAGGTGGGAACAGAGTGAGAATTCTATTACAGGAATTTGGTGAGAGTGGGAATTTGGTGCAGAAGGGGAAGGAGGTGGTAAGTAATTTTCAATTTGTTTCCAATTATGATTTGAAGCCACTACCAGAAGATGCATAGGAATGGGCATGAGTGACTTTCCCACTCACAATTTTGTCTGGAAAAACATTGTCTGATATTCTACTAATCCATGACCTATGCATTAGGGTCACTAAACAACAACAAAATTACATTTGTATAGCTCCTTTCACGTGGATGTCCCAAGGCGCTGGACAGACAGAGTTTCGGACCCGAGCTGAGGTTGGGGAGTGCGGGGGGTGGGGGAAACAGGGAGATCGAAAGCACGGTCGAAGAGGAGGGTCTTGAGATGGGTCTTGAAGGAGGCAAGGGAGGGGGCGAGGCAGAGGGATTGCGGGAAGGAGTTGCAGAGGACTAGTAATAATGCATTTTTCTAAATTCAAAAGCTTCCACTCACTTGAAAATGCTGTGAAGTCTTATTACAACTTCATACTCATAATACATTTGCATAGAAGTGCAAATAACCAAATTTAATACCACAAATCCCATGACGCAGAAGGATTCAAACTCTATTGGCTACTTTAAAAAGCATTGTTAACAACAACAAGATTTCATTTATAGAGCGCCTTTCATGTCGGGAGGACGTCCCAAGGCGCTGGACAGTTGGGTCGGGACCCGAGCAGGGGGGAAATTGTCAGGGTGAGGGGAGGGAAGGGAAGGGAAGGAGCGAGGAGGGGGTAGAGAGTTGAGAGGGCAGCTGAAGGCACGGTCAAAGAGAAAGGTCTTGAGACCGGCCTTGAAGGAGGAAAGGGAGGAAGCAAGGCGAAGGCACTGGGGGATAGAGTTCCAGAGCCTAGGGGCTGAGAGGCTGAAGGCCCGACCACCAATGGTAGGGCGGTTGGGGCGGGGGGTGTGGAGCAGACCGGAACCAGAGGAACGGAGGGTATGGGCAGGTAAGTAGGGGGATAGTAGGTCGGAGAGGTAGGAGGGAGCGAGGCCGTGAATGGCCTTGTAGGTGAGGAAGAGGATCTTGAATTTGATCCTCTGGGGGATGGGGAGCCAGTGGAGGCGAGCGAGGGTGGGAGTGATGTGGTCGCGAAGCCTGGTGCGGGACAGTACACGAGCTGCAGAGTTCTGAATGACCTGCAGCTTGTGGAGGGAGGTGCCGGGAAGGCCGGCGAGGAGAGAGTTCCCACAGTCCAGCCTTGAGGTGATAAAGGCGTGGACCAGAGTTTCAGCAGCGTGAGGGGTGAGGTAGTGCCATAGTCTGGCGATATTCCGGAGGTGATGGAAGGCGGTGCCAGTTGTGGCGCGGATATGAGGAAGAAAGGACAGCTCAGGGTCGAACAGAACACCAAGGTTCCTGACTGGCTTTGAGAGGTGGAGAGTGCAGCCTTGGATGCTGATGCTGTCAGCGCCTGAGGTGCGGAGGCGCTGACGCGAGCCAATCAGGAGGACCTCAGTTTTGCGTATGTTGAGCTGAAGAAAGTTGTCTCTCGTCCAGGACTCGATGTCGGACAGGCAGCTGTCAGGACATCGGTGGTCGTGGAGTTGAGGGCAGAGGAGGAAAGGTAGAGTTGGGTGTCATCCACATACATGTGGAAATTAACCCCATGTCTGCGGATGATGTCACCAAGGGGGAGCATATAGAGGGTGAAGAGGAGGGGACCGAGGACAGAGCCCTGAGGGACACCGCACGAGACAGTGCAGGGGCTGGAGGAAAAGCCGTTTGTGGAAACAAAATGAAGACGGTGGGAGAGGTACGACCTAAACCACTCAAGGACAGGGCCTTGCAGGTTGAGGAGGGAGGACAAGCGGTGGAGGAGGATAGCGTGGTCGACCGTATCAAATGCGGCCAATAGGTCGAGGAGGATGAGGAGGCAGAGGGAGCCCTGGTCCCAGATGGTCAAGATGTCAATAGTGACCTTGACCAGGGCGGTTTCTGTGCTATGGGCAGCACAGAAACCTGACTGGAGGGGTTCGAATAATGAATAGGCGGAGAGGAAAGAGTGCAGCTGGGAGGCCACGACTCTTTCAAGGACCTTGGACAGGAAGGGGAGGTTGGAGATGGGCCGGTAGCTTGATAGCATCAAGGGAGGGATTTTTCAAAGTGGGAGTGATGGTGGCAGTGTTTATGGGAATGGGAGCAGAGCCAGAGGAGAGGGACAGGTTGATGATGTCTGTGAGAAGTGGGGCAAGGACGTGGAGCTGGGAGATAAGGAGTGGAGTGGGGATGGGGTCAAGGGAGCAGGTGGTGGGTTTCAGGGACAGGATGAGGTTGGTGACAGAGGGTGGGGAAATGGGTTCGAAGGTGTGTAGGCGAGGATGGGTAGGAGTCGGAGTATGGGAGGGAAGGGGTGAGGGGCGAGTGGAAGTTGGAGGGGCAGTGAGCGCGGAGCGGATTCCCTTGATTTTGGATTCAAGGAAATCCAGCATCTCCTCGCAGTGAAGGTTGGAGGAGATGACCTGCGCGGGGGGGGGGGGGGGGTCAGTGAGGGATGATGGCCAGAGGGAGAGGAGTTCAGAGGACTCCAAGGCAGCGGTTAAGGATTGTGGGGGTAACTTCTTCCGGGGCGGTAGAAGATGGTGGTGGGTCTGGTGGAGGTGGGGAGGGGCGTGGAGGTAGTGAAGCAGATGAAGTGGTGATCGGAGATGGCCTTGTTGGTAATTGTGACATCCGAGACACTGAGGCCCCGGGTGATCACCAAAGCGAGTGGGTGGCCGTGACTGTGAGTGGCGGAGTTGATGTGGAGGGAGAGGTTGAGCGAGGAGAGCAGGGAGGAGAAGTCCGAGGAGATGGAGCAGGAGGGGGTGAAGTGCAGGTTGAAGTCGCCCAGGATGATGAGGCGATCAGAGCAGAGGCAGAGAGATGTTAGTAAGGTAGAAATATCGGAGATGAAGGTGGGAGAGGCTTTAGGGGGCCAGTAGAGGAGGATTTTGAGTGAGAGATAGGAGGGGTGGGAGAGGGTGAGGTGCTCAAAAGAGGGGAAAGAGCCAGAGGAGTAGGGAGATAGGGCAAGTGGTGTCCTTGAGATAAGGGCTACATCACAGCCACGGCGGTTGGGGCGAGGGATGTGGTGGGAGGTGTAGCCGGGTGGTGTGGCCTCCGTGAGGGGGAAGGTGTCACTTGGGGTAAACAAACCTGTTCTCCTTAGTTTTCCCAGAATCAATGACAAAGACAACATCAGGAATGGTGATTCCAGTTTCTGCAATGTTTGTTGCTAAAACAATCTGAAAATTTAAATAAAAATACTTAGTTGGTAAACTGTTAAAAATGAAGAATTTCCATAATGCTTCTCAGTATGCAATCTTATTGGGTTTCAACTGAAAAAATAATGAATGATACACAGTTCATTCATTAAAGGCAAACTATTACAGTGTTACTCTGGGGTGAAAACATTCAGAATCTTCAAACCTGTAAAACCTTACCTTTCTGACTCCTGGTGGAGGGACTGTGAATGCTGCAGCCTGATCTTGTGATGAAAGGATGGAGTGCAGAGCAATCACTTTGTATCTACAAATAAAGCAACACGAAACACTTCCACAATTATTCTAACTTAAAAAGAGAACCAACTTGATAAAAGCATCAGAGCAATTGTGAGGGAGAGGGGATAGAGGGAAAAAAAATCATTGACAAGTTAGAGTTCTTGATGTATTACCAAAGTACAGTACAATCCACTTTTGCCAGATAGCCTCCCTCGAGTCATTTGTATTCTTACCTATTTTAAATATGGCTGCTATTTCGGACAAAAATCCGGTTATTGCAGGAAAAATGCCGCCCTGGTCACCACTGGATGTACTCACTCGGGCCTTCCGTCTCCCCATTCAGCCACGAGCGACTCAGTGATGTAGATGGGAGGAGTCAAATTATGATTGGCAGCGGAATCCAGCCATTCACAAGCAGCTGGAGTTGGGCTGTCAATCAGTGAGGGGGCGGAGGAACACAGGAGGGAACATCGCGATTGATTGACAGCTGAACTGCTTGTGAGTGGCTGGAGCCCATCCATTGACAAGCGGCTGCAGGTCCCGCTAACTGATCCCCTTCCAGTCCGCTGGGAATGGCAATGGGAGGAAGCTCCGCCCCCTGCTGGGCAGGAAAGTACTGGACTGTATTTTGCAGCCAAACACAGGTAAACACATTTTACTGAATTCTGTGAGAGTATTTTAACTTTAACTGGTTAGTTAACATTGCTTCACGTGAAACATGACATATTATATGGTGCAACCGCAGCGCCTCTGCTGGGCAGGAATGGTATTTCGGCTAACTCCAGACACCTCTTAAATCGGTCAAAATGTCCATCCCCGACGTGTCCGGCTTAACCAGCTTCCACTGTATTTGCCTTTGAAAATCTGAGTCCAAGGAAACATTGGGACTTGAAACATTGAACATACAGAGTTTAAAAAAAGACATTGAGATGATAAATCAATTTAAAGAGAGGGTGTATATATTAATGACAATATCTCAGAATATCACTCGTCAAACCTGCAGTACAGTGGTATATATGGACATTAATAAGTCATGCAAATGGTAATGATTTGGAAAATTCAGGTTAATCATGAATGCAACTGAAATATTTCTGGAATTTACATTGAAGTTATTTTACCTCCTCCTGTCTTGGAACCTTTTGTCTGCAGTTAAATGATCATGAAGCTGTTGAATGTGAGCTAAACCCGGTAAAAATATCAGCACAGCACCACTGAGTGCACTGTACTGAGCGTTTATATCTGAAAGAAAAGCAAGAAATTATGGAAATCAAAAATCATATTTAAAAAAATATGCTTCTCTGAAAGTTTTAGCTGTACATAATTTAATTGGCAAAAAACAAAAATGTTGCCAAAATTTCCATCTACATTTCATGTACATTTACATTCCGGCACATGAAAGTACCCCAATTTTAGCATATGAAAGTTAACAAACATAGGATAAGGAAGAATGAAAAGGAATACTGTAAGTTAAGTGGGGGGGGGGAAAAAAAACTTACCCAAGAAGTGGAGCACCTCTAAGATAAGTTCCATGTTTATTTTATTGGGATTCATGTAAACAGTAGCATGACGAGTACGCATGCTATAGTCTTCAAGGTAAGCTCCAAAGTTAGGCCCAATTGCAGCACTTTTAAATAAAGATTCCTAAAATGGACAAATTAATGTTAGAAAATGGGCATTGAGGCAGGGGAGTAGAAAGGAAAAAAAAAGCAAAGATGATCACCTCATTTCAAAGATTAAAAATACACTAGAATGCTAGTGAAATAAAAGCATAATCGTGAAAATGCACACAAGTCAATCGTATCTGATTTATTCAAAGCCTTTTCTATCCCAAATGTATTATTTCTAATGAAGAGTCTCATCCATAATGTTAATGTAGCTTCAGCTTTCAGATGCTGATCAACCTACTGTGCATTTCATAAATACTTCAGATTTAATCAATCAACAATCACACCTACATCTTTGTCAGTTTATACCTCAGCTAACTCCCGTTGAAACCTATTGAAGTTAAAATTCATCCATTATTGTCTATTTACTTTTTTTGGACTATTAATAATAATCCTTGCATTTGATATGGTGCCTTATCACATTGTCAATACATCTCAAACCACTTAACAAGATGCACCATAAGGAGGATTGACTATGTATTTTGTGGGCAAAATGCAGCAGCCTGTTGAGCACAGCAATGTCCCACAAACACCCATAAAACAATTGTTTGGAGCATTGTAAGTTATTTGTTGAACGATATCAGCGTCTTTTTAATACTGTAACTGGATCGTCCATTTGAACCCAATACTCTCCAAAATTAGGTAAAACAGGGCATGTCTTTCCAGGATGAGAGTGCATATTTCATTCCAGACACAGGAAAATTTCCACGCGTAGGTGGCATACATATGTAGACCCTAGTCTGGTTTCGATACTCTGAAGCATTGCCGTGCGTTTCCGCATGTGTGACTCCTGGCTGTCCAAAAAAAAACTGTTTAGTAATTGCTTGCCTAACTCAATCTAGAAGGCAGCCCACGTGCCCTTGAGAGCAGTCTGGTGAAACTTGAAAGGTGTGCATCCTCACAAAGAAAAAGTATCTTGTCAAAGAGTAATCACAAAGAGGCCACCTAGCCCCCACACTCAACATTTTCACAGAATTATCAGTAACATGCTAATATGCCTCTTCGTTATTATAATGCTTAAATGTCAAAGGCAAACTGTAATGTAACATTTCAGCACAATTATAGTAAAACCCATTATAAAGGCGAGTGCTCTCTGGACTGCTTCCGGTGGTAAAAAAAAAGGCTAACTTCTGGGTTGACTGGTTGCCACCGTCACTCAGGTGCACTGAGCGTGTAGGCTATATAAAATGTTCAGCAGGTTGTCTGCAAGCATTACCTGTGAACTGACCAGTGTCCCCTCCATTACTCCTAGTTATACAGTGGTTGGAAATTTTAAGTACTCCAACTACCACCTTATAACAGGGTTGGACTCCTAATTATTTTGGCGGAAAGTAGATTTAAAAAAAACTGATTTAAGTGCCATGGGACGATCAGTCTTGGTTTGTTCCAATTGTTAGCATTTGCTTATGAATTGATGCTTGCTAATCTAAATGTTTAAATTATTTTTATTCAGTCTCTTTTAAAACATCAGGAAAAACAGCCAGAGGTTTCTAAACCTGACTACTTGAAGGAGTATATACAGTTGATACAGCTCAATATTAATTCCTCTGAGCTCTCTTACAATCAGGATCACTTTCATGAACGATCATTATTATGATTTCTAATGACAAACACTGCATAGCACCATTACAGAAATGTCTATGAACAACCTGATGCTGAAAAGTCTTTCCTCCTTTGCCACCGACTGATACTTTAATTTCTTCTTCCTCCTCCTCCAAGAATCTTTGGCAATATTCGGAGTCTTGTTCCAAAGTGTAACCCGTTGCTTCTACCACATCTTCCAGATGAAATACCTGAATTTAATAGAAATTTAAAATGAAACATTACACAACAAAGACAGAATGCAATATCATCAATTACTTCGTCAAACTGCATTTGATACTACACATAGCATAAGGAACAGGAAACTAGTAAGCTGAACAAATTATTTCCAAATCAAATACAGGTGGGGGGTGGGGTGTAAGAGAATATGGTGCTTCCCCTATTTATTCAAGGTACTGTATTTCTGAACTTGTACTTAAATATCGAATGCCTTTTTCAACACAAATAAAGATCTCATTCCTCTCACTTTTAGAACATTTGTGGAACATTTTGAGACATTATACTGGATAAGTTTAAGAGATTTTTAATTAAAAGTACTTTTTAAGCACCATCATCAACTTGTCAGGATTAATATCAACTTGTGTTTTAAAATACAATATAAAAACACAAACAAAGAGGTTAATAAAATACCTTTTTTTTAAAAAAAGCACATTAGTTTGCTAAAAATAAATATTTTCATTCAACATCAGGAAAAGGCTAGCAAATAAAACTACTGTATCAGGTTTATAATTTTTTTTTCTCCATCTGATATCCACATTAATAAAACATAAAGTTGAATACCCCCGTGTGCACTGGCCATCACAGATATTGCTAAGAAAGCCTGCACAAGGACATCAAACAAAAAAGTTCATTAACATTAAAATTGGGATAACTGGCTGCTTTGACGTGACACATATTAATACATAAACATAAATAGACTGCAGCATGGTGGAAGCAAATGGTACCTTTAAAATTAACACAACAATCTACAAACAATGTATTGAGTTTTTTTTGTAGTTACCTCAACAGGATAAAGTCTCCCAGGAATTGAGATAATAGGACAGTGTGCAAAATAATTAGCAAATTTACCACTGTCAACAGTTGCACTCATTAGAACCAGGTTCAGATCCAAACGCTTTTGCATTATTTCCTTCAAGATTATTAAAAGAAAATCTGAATGAACACTTCTCTCGTGAACCTATAATAAAAAAAGACAATCATGTCATTCATCCATATTAAAGGCAACTTGAAATAACTGACTTGATACTGGAAACATTTACCCACATTTATTTAAGACTTGAACCAGACAATATTTTGCCAAAGAACAAAATTAAAATTCAGTGTCCAAATAGGGTGGGATGGGGCACTCTTCCTTTAAACATACTTAATATCTCTTCTACCCAAGGTATTAGCAACGTTATAATCCATAATTGTGCCCTGAAAAATAATTGCAATTCAAGGAATATGTTACATTTGTTTTGGGGATAAATGCACTTCACAGTGGGGATTGCACACACAAGCCAACAAACAACAGTATTTGTCTGTACTTTAAATCTAAAATTATATTTAATCAAAATTTATTTGAAAATGGGTCTTTCTTTACCTCATCCACAATTACATGGGACACAGTGGAAAGAAGCTGATCCTGTTGTAGTTTGCGCAGGAGAATACCGGTGGTACAGTATAAAAGCCTGCATGATTCGCCAACTTTTGATTCCATTCTGATTTGGTAGCCACAAAGTGAGTTCTGAAAATAATTGTTATCCAGAATTATAAGAGCATCTTCAAGATCTAAATTTACCCCTTCAATTCAACATGAATTCTAGCACAGAGATTATGAAAGATTTTTCTAGTTGTAAATCTAAATGAAACTAAGGATTTGGTCCACAAGGGCAGTTTCTCGCAAAAATTCCATACAATTTGCTAATCACGACATTTTAACTAATCACATAACTCGAAAAAAAAGAGAGGCTACCATAGGTAAAACTTCCAAGAAGATAAAGCTTCATCCAATTTACACCCAGACTATAATTTATATAGTCATTAAAGCACATCTTCCAAATCACATTTTCATCTCCTAATCCAACAGTTTTGCACTTGGGTCTCCATTACTTGACCAGCAAATGGGGAACAGAAAACACTGCAGTTATGTCCAAATATCATAACTGCATTGTGTGACTGATAGGTCCATTGCTGCTTTTGCAAAGATATTGAATCTTTCATTGCTTATTTATTTGCATTGAGAAACTTAAATAAATTAACAGACTTGCTTATGATCAAACATTTCTGCATAGAAAGGTCAAGTTAATACATAAAATTTATTTCTTCCGAAAGAAATACAACTTATCTTACTTTTCCTCCAGGGCCTTCTAGACAACCAAGTTCGTCACAGACTCGTGTTGCGAGGCTCGCTGCTGAAATCCTTCGAGGCTGGGTACAAATGATATTACATTTTGGAGAATCGCTTGACAGCAAGTCTTCCAACAGGAACTGAGGTATTTGAGTACTCTTCCCACTGCCTGTCTCACCGGCCACAACCACCACCCGATGTCGCCGCAGAGTTTCCAGAATTCTTGTTTTGTGTTGAAACACTGGTAACAATTCTCTTTCGTTTAAAAGTTCCCGAAATTGTGAAGAACGCTGCAGGTTTTTATAAATATTCCTCGATATTTTCAAATTGTCTGACTTGTCCTTGTTAATTGAGATGTTTTCAAAGTCATCAGACACCAGGTTTTCCCACGAATCCTCTGGATCTTCCACTGTTGATGAGGTTTGTCGGGATGGTTGCTGCTGTTTCAGTGTATTTAGCAGCCTGGTGATAAACTGTTCGCGGGGCTTATTTTTTTCAGTTTGCCTTTTTTCAGCTTTTTGCTTTTCAGCATCACTCCATTCAAGCCAGACAGTACGATATGTAGGGGGCAGTAACTGATGAATTGCCTAAAGATTTAAAAATAAAAATGTTAAAATTTGAAGCAGTTAAATAGATATCTCAAAACTTACTTCTTTGACCACTCTTTTGGTCATCTTTCTCCTCCCTGCACCCTCAGTAGCCATCTCTAGCACTGTCAAACGTTTTGAGACATTCTCCCGACATGAAAGGTTCCATATAAATGTAGATTATATTGCATTGGTTCAGCACTGTTCGTAAGGAATCGTAAAATCAAGGACATTTTAGCACATCAGCCAGCATACCAGTCAGCCAGCTAAAAGCCTAAGACACCTCCTGAGATCACCATCAATGTCAAATCCTGTTTTTTGCAGGGTGATGTGATCATCCGGAAATCAGCCATTTTGAGCATGGGAAGCTGAAATGGCTGACTTTCAGGTCATTAAGTTGTCATCCATATTACTTCAGTGGCCATTTTAACTTGAACAGCCAGCCGGCACATGGGATCCAAGTGCACACACTTGGCTCTCAAGTGCTACAGTCCATCGCATTGTAAGTGAATTTGTGCTCTAATGAAGCACGATATAACAGGACTGCACTGTAAGTGGATTTTCATTCTGCATGTAACAAAGTACATAGTGTATAGATTGGGAAATTAATGATTCTTAAATGTTCTGGACCTTACCTGGCCTCTTACTAGATGCCATAAAGCCAGTGTAGATGCCAGATGTTGGGCCTGCATACTGTCCTCAGTGAGAATTGTGGGGCACACCTCTAGTATTCCATCCTTCTCCCTGTGTACCCGCACACTTTAAAAAGAACAACATTAAAAATGATCAGCAACAAATGATGCCAAAATCTACTAGCCTAATCATGTATGATTTTATCACTATTAGCACAATAATCACATCCAGACAGGTTAACCAATTCCCAAAGGAATTTTGTTACTAACAAAATATATAAACAGTAACCACCCAAGAGCATTGCAATCTTTTGGTATATAATAAAAATGCATTTGATATAGCTTCTCATCACATCGTTGAGACATCTCAAAGCACTTCATAGAATACATCGTAAAGTGTAGTGACTGTGTATTTTGTGGGCGAAACACAGCAGCCAATTGCACAGAGTAGTATTCCACAAACATTCATGGATTGAGTGACCAAATTATTGTTTTTTTTAGAAGGGATTATTACCCCTGGAAAGCGATCCGCCAATCGACTAACAACCGGGTTTCTACTTACTGCTAGGTAAACAAAGGTGTGTGGAGTAAGGAAACTTGCCTAAGTTTTCGCCTGCCTTGGAATCGAACCCTGGTCATCTTGATTGCTAAGCGAGTGCTCTAATCAGTATGCTACAGGATTCTATTGAAGTACAACTATATTGATGTAATTCCATGGATGCTATGCTCCACATTTACTCTTCCTCTCAAAGAATCAAAGACATTTTGTTTATGTTTGACCCAATGAGACTCAGGTATAAACATGTCTTCAAACCTATCAGCCAATGTCCGAACATAGAATTCTAAGTGTCATCCTCCTCAGTTACCATTATTATTTAAAGATTATATAAAGTTCATCCACTGTCTTCTATGCTGTATACCATTGACATTAACTAATTGAGAAGTGCCCATGTAAATGTAGTTTGCAATTATTTTAAGTACATCACTTCAATGGGCGATAGACTGATAAACCACTTCAGTCAACTTGAATGTATACCAATGGATGTTGCAATCACTTTATACCATCTTGTGTGCATGAACAGCATTCTAATAAAATCTTACTGAAAAAAATAAATGAAAGCTCATCCTGCCTCCAGTAGGGAAATCCAGAATCAGATAACAATCTTGAAATTAAAGTTGAGCCGGTTAATAGGAATCGAAAAAATATTTAAGCAAAGATAATGAAGTCAAGACGTCAGCTCAGAGCCTCTTGGCTAACATCCCTCCCGATAAAATTGTTCATTCATTTCCATGGCTCTTTGGGGACATCACTATGTGCAAATTGGCTACCGCATTCACCTACAATACAGTGTCACTAAACTTCCCAGTAAAAATCTTGTGAAGTCATTTTAAATAACAGTAATATCCCAGAAGGTTACAGATGCATAATCAATTAACTGATAGATAAGCAAACATGTTCAGGGATATGGAAAATAGGGACATCAATGCCATTAGAAAGATAAAGCAATTCTAATCTTTAAAAAAGGTGGCAGGCTCAATGGGTCAGTCAAATAATACTACTAATAATCCTTGTATAATCACAGAATATACTGTAAAGTGAATTGACTGTATATTTTATGGGAGAAATGCAGCAGACAATTGCACACAGCAATGTCCCACAAACCTCCGAAAAAGCGATCCACCAATCGACTAACAACTGGGTTCCTACTTACTGCTGGATAAACAGAGGCACGTGGAGTAAAGAAATTTATCCAACGTTTCCCCCTGCCTGGGAATCGAACCCAGGTCCTCCCCATTGCTAGGCGAGAGCTCTAACCACTAAGCTACAGGAAAGTTAACACAAAATTTCTCAATCTGTGACCATTTCATGTAAATGTCTCAGAATACTCTAATTCAAACATTTCTAATTCTTGCCAATACAATGTAGAGAAGATATAGTTAACTTATTTTATGAAGCGAAAAAAGTACAATAAACACACAAACCTACTCTTCCAGAATCGACCGGCAGGGATTTTGCGATAGCTAGGAGCTGGACTGATGGGGTAATTCTTCCGACACCAGTCAATCAAAAACTGCTTGGGAGATTTGCCTGTCCAACTTCGTGCATTATAGTCGAAGTTCCTCACATCCTTTGGTGCATTTTTTGCTGCAATATACACATAAGAATATTGCCTTGATAAAATATTCAGCAGTGTGCAATGTACAAGCCACAGAAGTAAATTAACACCTCATTCATCCATTTTGTATGGAATTGAAATTTAATGTAGAACAAAACCCATGCAATCGCAAAAGTAATTAAATTCATATTTGGTGGACAGCTTAACATGAATTTAATTGGGTTTAGAAGAAAGTGAGTTGCATCCCTGCAGTATAACTAAGCCATTCAAATCTATTCAGAATCTTTGCTACCAGCCTGTCAGTCTTCCACTCTTATTTTATATATTTAAAATTAACTGTCCTAGCCATCTTGAAAGCCAGTCTCCGAATTCCTTATTAATCTATTAATATTTTCACAAGCATTTTATGCGCCATTGAGTTTGTGCATTTATGTCAATATGCCACATAGCCAAGTCTCTGTATGCACTAAATTATGGGAAGTTATCTTAAATAGTTTGGTGCAGGCGGGCACTATACCTCTGACTGTCTGATGAGGGTAATTTCAATCTAGAAGTGATACTGTAGTACTTCCAGTTTTGGTCTCCTTATTTNAAAAAGGACATACTTGCCCTAAAGGGGGTGCAGCGTAGATTCACTCGGTTAGTTCGTGGGATGAGGGAACTGACCTATGAGGATAGGCTGAATAAACTAGGGCTATATTCTCTAGAGTACAGAAGAATTAGGGGAGATCTTATTGAAACATATAAGATTCTTAAAGGGCTGGATAATGTAGACACTGAGGGACTGTTTCCCCTGATAGGAGAATCTATAACCAGGGGTCACAGTCTTAAAATTAAGGGTCAGCCTTTTAGAACAGAGTTGAGGAAACATTTCTTCACTCAGAGGGTAGTGAATTTATGGAATTCACTACCCCAGAAGGCTGTAGATGCTCAGTCCTTGAACATCTTCAAGGTTGAGACTGATAGATTTTTTAAAAATAGAGAGATTAGAGGATATGGGGATAGGGCAGGTAATTAGAGTTAGGTCTGAAGATCAGCCATGATCTTATTGAATGGCGGGGCAGACTCGAGGGGCCGAATGGCCTACTCCTGCTCCTAATTCTTATGCTCTTATAAATGAGGCACAACACATTCATATTAGTGGCAGCCACTCGAATCGCATTTATTTTCCTCTCAAAACTACTTTGATTTCTTTGCACTAGTCGTATTTATCATCTCCAAATTTGGAACGTCGCTCCCCTATACTCCATTACTCCCTCACTTACTGGCCGAATTGAATCATGGGAAACGTAGTCTTGATCCATAAACCGCATGAGCACTTACCGAAATGACAAACAACAACACACAACAAAATTACATTTGTATAGCGCCTTTCAGGTGCTGGACAGACAGGGTGGAGGAGGGTGGAGGGCAGGGGAGAAGCAGGAGATTGAAAGCACGGTCGAAGAGGAGGGTCTTGTGAGGCAAGGGAGGGGAAGGGACTGTGGGATGGAGTCCCAGAGGATGGGGGCAGAGTGGCAGAAAGCTTGCCCACCAATAGTGGAGCGAGCGAGGCGGGGGTCGTGAAGCAGGCCGGAGCCCGCTGAGCGGAAGGGAGGAAGCAGGCTGGTAGGGTGTTAGGAGGTCTCAGAGGTAGGGGGGATCAAGACCATGAAGTGCTTTGAAGGTGAGGACCAGGATCTTCAGCTGTATCTTCTGTGTGATGGGAAGCCAGAGTCAGGGAGGATGGGGGTGATAGGGTCACGGAGCCTGGTGCGAGAGCAGACACGGGCTGCAGAGTTCTGGATGATCTGCAGCCCATGGAGGAAGATGTTGGGGAGGCCAACAAGCAGGGAGTTTGCATAGTCAAGCCTCGATGTAATGAAAGTATGTATAAGGGTTTCGGAAAGACAGTGGAAGAGCCGGGCGATGTTGCGGAGGTGGGGGAAGGCAGAGCAGATCATGGCACAGATGTGAAGTAGGAAGGATAGTTGAGGGTCAAACAAGACCCCAAAGTTCCGGACTGGCTTAGCAAGGTGGAGTGTGCAACCATGGATGGTGATGCTCTCAGCGCCTGAGGTGAGGAGGCACTGACGGGAGCCAATCAGGAGAGCCTCGGTCTTGTTGACGTTCAACTGAAGAAAGTTAGATCTCATCCAGGACTTGATGTCTGACATTCGGTCAGGACAGCAGTGGTCCTGGAGTAAAGGGTGGAGGCAGAGAGGTACAGTTGGGTGTCACCCGCATACATGTGGAAATTGACCCCATGTCTGCAGATGATGTCACCAAGAAAGAGCTTATCGATAATGAAGAGGTGGGGATCAAGGACAGAGCTCTGAGGAATGCCGCACGAGACGGTGCAGGGGCTAGAGGAGAAACCGTTTGTGGAGAAGTGGAGGCAGTGTGAGAGGTATGATCTGAACCAGTCCAGGACAGAACCGTGAAGATTGAGGTGAGAGGAGAGGCGGTGGATGAGGACAGAGTGGTCGACAGCGTCGAAGGCAGCAGAGAGGTCAAGGAGGATGAGGAGCCAGAGGGAGCCCTGGTTGCAGATGGACAGAATGTCATTTGTCACTTTGACCAAAGCTGTTTCTGTGCTGTGGACTGCATGGAAACCCGATTGTAGGAGTTTCTGAAGTGAGTGGCAGGAGAGGAAGGAGCGAAGCTTGGAAGCTACAATCGTTACAGGAACTTGGAGAGGAAGGGGAGTTTCAAGATGGAGCGGTAGTTTGAGAGTAGAGATAGGTCCAGGGAGGGTTTTTTAAGGATAGGAGTGATGACGGCATTTTTTAATGGGGTGGGAACAGTACCAGTGGACAGGGAGAGATTTCATATGTCTGTGAGTAAAGGGGCAAGGAGACGGAGCTGGGAGGTAAGGAGAGAGATAGAGATGGGGTCGAGGGAGCATGTGGATGGTTTCATGCGAGTTATAGTGGTGGTTGAGAGAGGAATGGGAGACAGGTTTGAAGGTGTGGAGGGAGGGATGGCTTTGGGCCGGGGTGGGAGGGGGAGATGGGGAGGGTGTAGCAGACGGAACGGCAGAGGCAGCTGAGCGGATCATCTCAACTTTGGATTCGAGGAAGTCCAGCATTGCTTCACAGTTGGCATTTGAGGTGAGGATGGGCGAGTCGTGAGAGGGTGGGCGGAGGAGCTGGTTGTAGCTGAAGAGGAGTCTGGGGTTGTCCTTGGCCTCCAAGATTGTCTTGGAGTAGAACAACGATTTAGCAGAGGCGAGGGCAGATCGGTAAGATTTGATAAAGTCCAGCCAGATCTGCCATCGGACCATTAAGTTTGATTTAAGCCAGGTGCCTTCAGCGGCACACACCTGTGCTTTAAGGAGCGGAGGTGGCTGGTGTACCATGGTGATTTACATGAACAGGAGACAGTTCGGGAAGAGAGGGGAGCAAGGGAATCGAGAGTGGAGGAGAGGAAGCTGTGAAGAAGAGTAATCGAGGAGGATAAGGTCATTGCGGGAGGAGTTCAGATGACTCCAAGGCAGCCAAGGAGGGGGGGGAAAAAGAGAGATTTTTTTTCCAGTGGCGGTAGGAGATGGAGGTGGGTTGGATGGTGGTGGGGAGAGGGATTGAGGGGTTTAGGGAGATGAAGTAGTGGTCCGAGATCGCTTTGTCAGTGATGGTGAGGTACGAGACAGTGAGGCCCCAAGTGATCAGCAGGTCGAGGGGGTGACCGCGGACATGGGTGGCAGTAGATGTGGAGGGAGAGGTTGAGGAAGGAGATAAGAGAGGAGAAGTCAGCAGAGGTAGAGCGGGAGGGGGTGAAGTGAAGGTTGAAATCACCTAGGATGAGAAGGCGTTTGGGGCAGAGGGAGAGGGAAGCTAGGAGGGTGGAGATTTCAGGGATGAATGCAGGAGAAGCCTTGGGGGGGCGAAAGATGAGGATAATTTTGAGGGAGAGGTTGGAGGGGTTATAAAGGGTAAGGTGTTCAAAGGAGGTGAAGGTTCCAGAGGAGTAAGGAGATAGGCCGAGCGGGGACCGGGAGATGAGAGCCACATCGCCACCACGGCAGTTATGATGGAAGGTGTACCCAGGTGCTGTGGCCTCTATCAGGGGGAAGGTGTCACTTGGAGTGATCCAGATTTCAGTGAGGGCGAGAATGTCGATGTTTTCGTCGACAATGAAGTCTTGGATAGTGAGTGTTTTGTTGGGAGCGGACATTTTGTAGGCCAATGTGGAGGGGACTCTGGGTGGCAGAATGTGGGGGCGACGGGGGGAGAGGGAAGACTGACAGGGAGGGTGGGGATGTGGTTCAGGGAAGAGATGTTGGCCCCCGTGGTCAGGGAACGATGAGCCTTGCAGCAAGAATGGGGGTTAGGACAGTCAGAGTCGCTGCTGTTGGACAGCCAGCGGCGTCTGCCATGGAGGGCCCGACGGAGTATTCGCAGGCTGGAGCAGAGGGAGGCTGTGGGAGGTCGAGCAGGATTAGGAGTCGGGGAGGGTGGTGGGAGAGGAGAACCGAGCGGGAGTAATGGAGGGTAGAGGACAGGGGTGGGATCATCGTGGGGATGCAGCTTGCATGGGCATTTATTGGCTTAATTGAATTACGCATGCAGCAGTGTAGATTATTGATTAAATTGAATTTTATACGATTATACAAGTTTGCCTGCAACAAGTTTATGAAAATTATGTTAAATCTTATGGGCCCGACTGAACTTTACTGCACAGTATTACATTGATCAGTAACTCACCTTCCTCTTTTACTTTTGCCCCACAATCTTCCAACATACGTAAATTGAGGGAATCTTCACTCTTACTGTCTAGCGGCTGGGAAGTTGAACTTTTGTTAGGTATCTTTACTTCTTGAATCTTAGTTGACCGCTCAAAGGCAGGATGGGTCTCCAATTGTTTCATCTCTTTACAAGAAATTTAAAAACAAGGTTTTATTTAGGTTACTAAAAATGGAGCAGACTTGGCAGGACTGCTATTACTTTTTATTAAGAAAAAGGGACATAAAGTAATCACTTAGTTATTCATCTTTATCAATGCCTTAATCTCAATTGTACAAGATTAATCTACAACATTTGAAATAACAAGGCCATTATTATTATAAATCGGAACTGAAACTATCTTCACTCTGAATGCTCAGATTTTGGTCAGTATTTTATAGTGGTTCATGAAGTTAGAAGAATCTCTACCTTCAGGAAGAGTCCTCATTGTGAGTGCAGGCCGAAGGAGTTTTGCCAATAGCTTTGCCAGCCTGGGCAAGGCTGTAGCATCTATTATTTTGCTATTTTGCTACTTGGATTAAAATTACAGTGCGACAGTTAGAATTTCCTTAAATCTTATTCTGTAATGTCAATTGAAGCATACAGTAGCATTGGCATATATGGAACTCCTAGTCTAGGTTGAATACTCATAAGCATGGTGATGGGTTTCCGCATGTGTCAAGACACTTGGCTAACCAAACGAAAGTAGCACATAATGCAATTGGTTATGTTTATAAATTCAGCAAGATGCAGAATTAAGTGAATTCACATCAACAAATTCCCTGATGTTTTTGTTATTTCAAATGACTACGTCCCTGGACCTGACAAATTTATCTCTTCTATCAGTTTAGATTTCAGTGTGACAGTGCAAAATTCAGGATTGAACAAAAATAGAATCCAAACCGCCTCTGCAGTCAAATAGCCTGCTGACACTTACTACAAAAGGTTCACACGTGAGCAATGGCCACTTGGGCAGGGCAGAAGAGAATAACCAACACCAGTGGCACTGCATCCCAGTAAGAGGAGCAACATTGTGACAGTGGCGAAATTTTTAAAAATTAAGACACCTGAAATTTAAATGAAAAAATTCTCCAATCAAATCCATCACCGCTTTAATGTTAAATCTTTGATTTGAAAAAAAACTTTAAAAGAATAATTTGATGGCAGGACCATTGGACAAATAAACCAGAATTATGTACTTACCCCGTTGAAGTATTTTTATCCTGTCCCCTGCTTCTCTTTGAGCTTGTCTGTTGTTATTTTGCTTAAAGGTTAAAGCCCGTTCTTTGACATCCTGGAGTTTTGCTACCAGCTCCAGGTAAAGTTCATTCTGTTCAAGAAATGTGAAAAATGAGATTAACATCTATCTAAAAACAATTTACAGAAACAGTTTTTTTCCACAAATAAACAGCAAATAAATCACATCTGTAAAAGGGGTGGGAAGAGTATAGGCGTGCTCTTCCCGTCCCTTTTACAGATGTGCATTTATGAGTATTTACAGCGTGAAAATAGAGGTGAAACCCAAGACCAAAATATTAGTGTGTGTGTGTGTGTGTGTGTGTGTGTGTGTGATTCAGTACATCAGTACACCAGGCAGTGCGAAAACTTGGGCAAGTTTCCTTACTCCACACGCCTAATAATAATCCCTCCAAAACAAAAAAAATAAATTGGCCATTTTCAATCCACAACTGTTTGTGGGACGCTGCCATATTTGGCTCCCGCGTTCGCCGACAAATATACGGTCAATTCATTTTACAGCATATTCTGTGAAACACTTTGAGACGTCGAGAAGACGTGAAAAGCGCTATATCAAATCCAAGGATTATTATTAGTTAATTTTACAGCCTACAGACTAAAGATCACCAAAGATAGCGCACTGGCCAAAGTTTCCTCGTTTTACCATTCCATCCTCTTAAGTTCCTCCCATTTTATCAAAATGAAACAAATTAATTTGTTCACAAAATCAGGTTTTTTTAAAGACATTTTTTAAACTCGGCAAATTCCCTCATCTCCTAATACAATTCTGGACTCAGTTTAGAAACTGAAATTCTGCCAGAATTGAACAACAACAACAACAACAACAAGATTCCATTTATAAAGCGCCTTTCAAGTCAGGAGGACGTCCCAACATTTACAAGGGTTAAACTATACTTCAAAACATAAAACTAATGATATTGTTTTTTTCCAGAATGTTAGACATTGTTTTAAAATGATTAAGCTAACAACAGCAAAATATTTTGAGTCAGAAGTCTAACACATGTAGGAAACGCCTTGCAGTGCTTAAGCATCTCCAATTGCAAATGCCAAGAATGCACAGAAGCAGATTCTAGTTCTTCAGTGCACAACTCTTCCCAACCCCTGAGACGGAATTGAGACAAGATTGCTGGAGTTGAGTGACCAGCAGCTGGGCGGGGAAGGGCTCGAGGCAGCAGGTTGTGAACTTCATCGTGGTGAGAAATGGGGACAAAGGTGTAAGGAAGGGGAAATGGTAGAAGCCGTGGCGGAGGGAGAAGGCAGTGTGGATGGTCAGGGTAGGGTGGAAGGGGGATGCAGCCAAGCAGATGTTTTCAATCTTTGAGACAAAGAAGTCTAGGAACTCTTCACACTTGGCATTTGTTGTTAGGATAGAGGGGACTTGTGGGGTGCACGGAGAACGTGATGGACGGTGGAAAACAGCATCTTTGGATTGCTGTTTGCTTCCAGGATGACTTTGGAGTAAAGTCATTACTTCCAATTCTTTACATTGGAATAAAGAATAACTTCCATACTTACTGGGTCAAAGTGTTCTTCCTCTTCAGATTTTTCTTCCGATAATTGAACATCAGCCACCAGCGGCTCATCATCATCATAACTTACTTCTTCAGCATAACGCAAAATCCACTGCTTCACACCAACTCCCTTTGTCTATCAAAAATAGAAGTTTTGCAACTTTATAAACTTTTCAGATGTCAAAATGAGAAATTTTGTCATTTGAGGAATCATCAGCTGCATAATATTAAATGTCCTACTTCAATGGAATGCAAAATAAATTCTTAAATACACACTTATAACTAAGATCCAACAGAAAGTTTAAAAATTCCATTCAATATATTGATCAAGCAGTTTTTCATTCTCTCACTAATATTTTCTTCCCCTGAAGAAATCTGACTTTGAGTATGGTAACACAAGCCCCAACCACATGCCAGGCATCACCTCAAGTGATTATTATTGACGTGCTAGTATTCAGAATGAGTGTCCTCAAGTCTTTCAACTGTAGAAGTCATGCAGCCCAATTAAGTTTCCTATAGCATGGAAGGTTAGATAACAATTAGGGAGTGTGAAGTCCAGCTATTTTCCCCTTCCCTAACCAAGGGCACATGGCAAATTCTTCCTGAAGTAGACACTTCCATGCAGCTACCTTGAAGACAAAATTGAGAGATCCACTGATCAAACACTTGTATTAAGAGTCCATGTCTCTTCCTTCCTGTGCCCCCACCCCCCAGCACACACCAATTAATTGATTCATTCTAGGATTTTCATTTTAAAAATATATGCTTAAAGTTAACATAGACTTCAGTATCTTTGCTCTTGTGAACAAAATAAGACCAGTCTAAAACTCAATATCGACTTCACCTGTGCCTGAGGCTTGTCTTTGTGTGCTGTGGCCTCAGACACTTGAGATTTTATAGCAGGTTCCACAGGAGACTTCTGCATGGTCTTAGACTTGGCCTTTGTCTTCTCCTCTTCGTCTTCTTGTAGCTTCAGACTGAATCCATCAGGCAATAAATCTTGAATAAGAATTATTACAAGTTATTCTAGATCCATTCTATTCCAATTTCACTAGAATACCACCCAATTTAAATTATTCTAAGTCTGTTAAAACTCAGTTCAAGCAAACGCATTAAGTAATGATCAAATATTTATTTTGTACTGTTTTGCCAAATATATTTAGGTTGAATGGACAATTTGGTTCTCCAAATAAAGGGAATCTTTGCTTCAATCACTGCTCCTTCCAATCATATATTTTTATTTCAAGATGCATGAAATACTTTGTGAAAATTAATCTGAATTAGTTTTCAATTTGACTCAAAAAAGATGCAATTCTATCATTTCTTCCTCTTGTCTTTTTGATCATGTGTTGGAGACCAGGCTGTCTGCACGATGTATTCAGAGAATTTTTATCCCTCAGAGGTGTTAGGATGTGGAATTCTCTGCCAAGTATGGTGGTAGAAGCAGAGTCCCTTGTGGGTTTCAAGAGGAAAGTAGATAGGTGTATGAAGGATAGAGATATATTTAAACGTGCCTCACATGATGTGCCAATTAAGAGGAACATTCCTTCAGGGAAAGGGAAATTCTGGAAAAAAAAACTGCCCTTTTTAAAAGCATAGAAACATCCAAAATGTTAACAGCTGAAACAAAGCCCAGAATGAACCAGACTTGAGAAGCAAGGGACCTCTGGAGAATATTACTGAGGTAGTATCGAATTCAGATAAACTAACTCACCATCTACTCAACTTACCATCAGGAAGATTTAAACACAACCAATCCAAAGCAGAATGAAGATCCCCACCATAGATAACAGTATTTTTCATCGCTTCTTCGATGTGCTCAGTCTTAAATGAAAAATTTTGCAAAGCACCATAGAGATCCTAAACAGAACAATGCTCAGTTAATTAAACTAAATTTACATATTTTAAAAACTTAATAATTTAAAGTTTTTTTTAAGTCACCTTAGTAAAAACTATTTGGATGAATTACACACTTCAGGCAATGTTTATAGACATAAACAATGACAACACTATTCAAAGCCACTATATCTGAAGGTTTGCACGACAAAGCCAAAGAGCACAGCTGAAACAGCTTTAAGAAGATCATATGAAATGCAATTAACATTGGCTTCAACACATTTGCTGCTAATCCACATCTCCTCAAAATCCACCATCAATCTTCTTCTATGCCTATCAAGTTTTGTAGAGAGCCAACCATCTGTGATGGTCTCGGTAGCCCATTTCCTGTCATCAACCAGGGCACTGCTGATGACAGCCCAACCAGCATGGCACATTGGCGCATGGACTTGGAAGGACAGACCAGTCACTGGTAGCAAGGATTCTTCCCATTCAGCTCCTGTAATTTTTTTCTGCTTTGTATATCAAGTACTGGAAATTAAAATATTTGCTCTCCTTTAGGTGAGGAGGAAAGAATTACTGATTAAAAAGTAACAGCATTTTTTCTGGGTTGTAGACCAAAGGTTATTGAAATATATCTGAATAGGAGTACGATAGTCAAGCTAACATCAATTCAAAGAAAACACAACTATAATATCTAAACTATATGTGAAGTAAGAATAATCCTTACATTTGATACACATGATGTGCATCATACTCAAATTATATGTTATTGGGAAACTAGGTACAATCCTTTTGATTAAAGTGCTTGAAGCCCTTGCAATACTAGAAAAAGGAAGACAAATTATGTTACCTGTAGTTTTTTAGCTGTTAGCCTGCCAGAAATTGTCCCAGACCAGCATTGTTCCTTTTTAAATTGATTGATTAATCTTATAATTCTTTGCTCCAACTCAGGTTCAATGAGCACCTTTTGAAAAAAAAAACAGAAAATGAACAATTATTTACATTACATTCTTCCATCCAAAAGAGACATATTACATATAGTGCATAATATATTAGTAATAATAATCCTTCAATTCGACATAGCTCTTTATCACGTCTTTGAGGCGTCTCAAAGCGCTTCACAGAATATACTGCAAAGTGAATTGACTGTATATTAGTAGTTAGTAAAAAGGCACTGTATAAACAAATTGCATTGTATTACAGGCCCACGATCTGCACATTTTATGGTGCTAAAAATATGAAATGTATGGAAAAAGAATATTATTTTGGGAGAGACTATTACACATGGTTAATGTGTTGAAGAAGTTTTATTCTACAAGGATATAGTTTCACAGACGAAAATGCACATCCAAAACATAGAAAAAATTTCATGTATAGCTCTAATAACTCTCAACTGCCAAAACTTAGCCAAAGACAATGTAGTTCACTTCTGACCCCCAACCCCCCACCACCCTCAAATGATGGTTTGCAACAGATTTCCAATTTTAGTCATACCTTTAGAAGTTCAAAGGACTTCCCCAGAAAGAGTCAATGAACTAGTCAAGTTTTGTATGTACCCTTGAATTATTGCTAACTTTGGAGCTGGTTGCCCCCTCTACACCAGTGCAAGCCCAATACAGTAAAACTCAAATAAGTTGGATTAGTCAGGACCATAACGTTAAATACGACTTACACGAAGTCCGACAAACTGTAGAAGTCATAGAAAATCCGATTTAATAATAATAATCCTCGCATTTTGATATAGTGTCTTATCACATCTTCGAGACGTTTCAAAGTGCTTCACAGAATATACTGTAAAGTGAATTGATTGTAGTTCTGTGGGCGAAACACGGTAGCCAATTGCGTGGAGCAGTGTCCCACAAACAGTCGTGGATTGAAGTCACCAATTTATTTTCAATAATCCACACTGCACATGTGTAATTTAATGCAGCTCGTAAGTGCCCATGTGGTGACAGGTAAGACTACATTTCCCACAACTAGTTGAGTATTCACCCTTCACCGCATGCCCACTTAAAACTTTGGAATCGCAGGAAATGAAGTTCTTCTGCGCACACCTCAATGGATGAAGACTATGTTTCTCGTGATTCAATTCAGCAGTATCCTTTGTCCTTATTGTCACCCTTGCGTCAATGGGTAAGGCCTCCAGTAAGCATGAGAGTAATGGAGGGTAAGGGAGCGGTATGATGAGTTAGGAGGTAATACATGTAGTGTAAAGAAATCTAAGTCGTTCTGATAGTAAACTGATGGGACTTGGGTGAATATACGATTTATAAAGATAAGCCAATGTGAGTTTTATTGTATGTAATACACGAAAAAATTAAACAGCAAGCATGAGTTTTTGCATCTTTGCCTGAAATCACCTTGATGGCGGATTTGTCCAAATTTCCGCTTGCTTCATTTCTGGATGTCGCACCAAAGCTGTAAGTCTTTGGACCTAAAGAAAGCACAGAAAAGCTGCATTATTAAATGCAACCCAGAAAGCATTCACCTGGCACTACTATTGCCAAAACCTGAGGCAAGTTTCCTTACTCCACACACCTCGATTCACCGTGGAAAATAAATAGGAACATGGTTGTTAGTTAATTGGCGGACAGCTTTCCAGGGTAATAATCCCTTCGGAAAAAAATAATAATTTGGTCAGTTCAATCCACAACCTTTTGTGGGATACCGCTGTGCGCAATTGGCTGCCGCGTTTCACCCACAAAAAATACAAATCCCTTCACTTTACAGTATATCCCGTGAGGCGCTTTTAGATGCCTCGAAGACGAGATGAGGGGCTGTATCAAATGCAAGGATTATTATGCAAAAAGCAGCACAGTGTGTGGGGAAGGAGTGTAAAAACCGCATCTTATTGTACTGTTCGTATATTTTTTTATTATCAGATGCAAAATGCAAAGACGATTATTGGTCCACACACACACACACACACACAGTGCCTGATGTATGCCCTATGAGACCCTATGCAATTCCCAGCGCGGGTTCTTATTTGGGTTTTGTGGATGCCCAACATATTCATCTATCGTTTAAATGAATATTATCTCCTCACCCTGTCACACCGGACAGGATACCCTGTGTGTGTGTGTGTGTGAGGGGGCGGCCCTCCCAACCCTCCCTCCGCGGGGACTCACCACTCGCTTTACCTTTGCTCTCTTTAGCGGCCACTCTGGCGACAGGAGGCCGCGGCGTTTGCTTTTTGCCATCCGACGGTTGCTGGGCCCCTTCCGGAGCCTGACCGCTGGGCCCCGGCGGCGGCAGAGGCTCGGATTTCCTTTTCTTCTTACCCCCCATGTGCGGCAGCGGCAGCGGCAGCCCTCCTCCTCGCACTGAACCGGCGGCTGTTAGACCGCAGGGCGCAGGCGCCGCCCTCGCGCCGGCGGAGAGCGGCGAGGTCGAGCTGCCGGAAGTGACGACAGCGGACCCGAGGACGGCGGTTGACAGTTGGAGCGCGAGCGCCCCCACCACCACCACCGCCACAACAGCAGCAGCAGCAGCAGCAGCGACTACTTAATAATAACAACAACAACAACAAGATGACATGTGTATGGCGCCTTTCACGTCGGGAGGACGTCCCCAGGCGCTGGACGGTGTACAGCATTTCAGACCCGAGCTGGGGTGGCCGATGGTATGGTCGAAGAGGAGGGTCTTGAGGCGGGACTTGATGGAGGCTGAGGAGGGGGCGAGGCGGAGTGACTGGGGGATGGAGTTCCAGAGGTTGGGGGCAGAGTGGCTGAAGGCTCTCCCGCCAATGGTGGGGCGGGTGGGTCGGGGGACGTGGAGCCGGCCGGAGCCGGCTGAGCGGAGGGAGCGGGCGGGTTGGTAGGGGGTTAGGAGGTCGCGGAGGTTGGGTGGGGCGAGGCCATTGGAGGGCTTTATTTATATGTAATAATAATATTGCATTTGAGACAGCGCCTTATCACGTCTTCCAAGTGTAAAGTGAGCTGAGCCAACACGGAAACTCGGTGCCCTTTTCGACCCTCAGCTACCCTTCAAAGCCGTGACCCGTTCCGCCTTTCCCCACCTCCGCAAAGTTGCCCGCCAAGACCCGGATCCGTGCTTTCATCATGTCCCGGCTCGACCTCGCCAACTGCCTGCTCGCTAGACTTCCCAACTCTTCCCTCCACAAGATGCGGATTATTCGGAACTCTGCAGCTCGTGTCCTCACCCGCACCAGGCTCCGGGAACCTATCACCCCCTTTCTTCCCCATCCCTCAGAGAATCTCGTTCTCACCTTCAAAGCCCTCCATGGTTTTGCTCCCCCCCCCCTACCACTGTGACCACCTAACCCCATATCAGCCTGTCCGCTCCCTCTCTCAGTGGACACCAGCCTGCTTCAAGACCTCCGCACTTCCTGCCCCACCATTGGCGGTATCTCTGCCCCCACACTCTGGAACTCTCCTGCAATCCTTCCGCCTCACCCCCTCTGTTGCCTCCTTCAAATCCAGTCTTAAGACCTTGCTCTTTGACCATGCCTTCGACCGCCCTCCCACCCCCCCTGCCCCCCACATTTCCTGATCCCAACTCCCAGCTCTGGTCCAATACCCCTGACTTTCCAGGACCTGGGGTGCTACATAAGTGTAATTTGCTGTTGTAGTAATTGTATATTTTGTGGGCAAAATGCAGCAGCCAATTGCACACAACAATGTCCCACAGACAGTCATGGTATGAGTGACCATATTATTAATTTTTTTGAGGGGATTATTCCCCTCGGAAAAGCGATCCACCAATCAACTAATAACTGGGTTTCTACTTACTGCTTACAGAGGCGTGTGTGTGTGTGGAGTAAGGATAACCTGCGTTTATATTGCGCCCTCCTGCAGGGTAGCGAGTCAGAGCACTTGGAGTGTGAGCTCCCCTCCCCCACCCCCGACAGAGCCAGTGTGAGCCCCCTCTCCCCGACACTTATCAGTGTGTCGCCCTCTCTCCTCGGCACAACCAGTGTGAGCCCCCTCCCCCAACACAGCCAGTGTGACCTCCCCTCTCCTCGACACAACCAGTGTGAGCCCCCTGCCCAACGCAGCCAGTGTGAGCCCCCATCCTGACGCAGCAAGTGAGAGCTCCCCAACACAGCCAGTGTGAGCTCTCCTGGGGCAGTGACAGCATTTGAAGCGTTTGGAGAACGGAGATGGCATGTTCAAAACCGGTCAAGAGGAGACATGTAAAAAACGTGTAAATAGTTTAGCTAACTCAGATTAGTTGCCACCAGTTGTCATAATTTAGAAAGACTTTCTGAACTTTTCTTTAAATGAGTATATACATAATTTACATAAGATGACAATGCTTATGAAATGTGTCCACCTGGCTCAGTTGGTTGAACTCAGACGGCTGAGTCAAAGTTCAAGAGATTCAGGAAGGACATTAACCTCACAGTCTAGGCTGACACTTTTGCATAGTGATGGCTGGGTGTGCTCATTGTCAGAGATGCTGTCTTCAGATGAGATGTTAAGCAAGTGCCATTTGCTAATGCAACTTGACTTCAAAGATGCCATGGTACTATTGAAAAAAGAAGGGAGTTTCTTCCGATGTCCTTGTCAACAATACCCCAAATAAAAAAGGTCACCCACTTTGTTTGTGGTTTGTGGGACCTTGCAGTGCACAAACTGGCTGCCCGCTAGCCTACAAATACACAGCAACTACACTTCACAGTAAAATCCTGTGAAGTGTTTTGACTTGCATCACCTACATGATCCACTAAATCAATTGTAAAGATAATATGTATTATATAATATATTTAGCTGATCTTCAGGTGAAATAATCTTGAAGGAGTGAAGTCTTTAATAAGGCCCAATAATGCAAACCTTATGCAATGCAAACATTGGTCCAAAAAATGTCAATAACTAATATTTCAATAAATAGTCTCTTTGGTACACAAACATTATATTGGGAAAGCAAGTAATAGTCAATGTAAATATATATATAATAATAATAATCCTTGCATTTGATATAGCGCTTTTCACGACGGGAGGACGTCCCAAAGCGCTTCACAGAACACACTAAAGTGAATTGACTGTATATTTGTGGGCGAACGCAGCAGCCAATTGCGCACAGCAATGTCCCACAAACAGTCGTAGATTGAAAATGATCAATTTTGTTATTGTTTATTATTGTTTTGGGTTTTTTGGAGGGATTATTATTAGGCGTGTGGAGTAAGGAAACTTGCCCAAGGTTTCGCCCTGCCTGGAATTGAACTCAGGTCTCTCGCTTGCAAAGCGAGTACTCTAACCACTGAGCTACAGGACTCCACATTATTGAATTAATATAGATTTAAGTAATACACATTTAGGAATAAAGCACACAATGTGAAATAACAGAAGTAAAATACTCCTTGAAAGAATCTTAGGAAAGTTTCCTAACAGCTTTGAAAAATACTAACTTGTTAGTAGAAAGACTGGTTTAATGTGATGATTCTTTAACTGGGCATTTCTTTCAATATTATAAACAATAAACAGATGTCAAAATTCTCAGGGGCTCAAAGGAGGTTGAAAAAGAGAATGAACAGGAGATAGCAAACTTATTGAACAAATACTTCCTGGAGGTTTTTCCCGGGGTGACACCCCTTCCCTCCTTGATGTTTGACCCCCATCTTGTGAATGCACATTAAAGACATTATCCTATGTGATGGGCATCATATGAATGCAAGTTATTGTAAAGATATGGTCCCAACATTCACCAAGCATTGTTTGAGCTCCAGGACTTTGATATAAGTGACATTGTTTCTAATCTCAACATTTATAGATAAATCAAGGCAACCTCTGAATTTCAATCATAATACAAATATTACAATAGAGAATCAATTTATATAAATTTCAAATTTTTCATGAAAACAATTCTTTTGGAAAATAGTTATGAGAATCTAAATTACAAATGGGCTGATATTTTTAAAATATACATTTAAATTTGTCTATATTTAAAGCATGGCTATATTAATTTGTTTCCTTTGTACAAGAAGATAGATAATTAATCAATACTTAGAAATTCTTTAAACGTTGAGAAATATTTACATATTTTAACATTCCTTAAATATCCCAACTTATTAAAAAGAGAATTGCAGAACTTTTCAGCAAAAGCAACAATAAAGAATTAAACATTGGAATAAAATAAACATAATTTTAAATTCCGAAATCTGATTACTACAAGGCATCTAAGGCCCTGATTCAGACAAATTTTGTTCTGTTAAAGTGCACAGGCAATTGAAAGTATTGCCTTTTTAGTTTTGCAGACAAAATCCTTGTTTCATAATATTCCAGAAGTCTCTTCCACTGAGGATGGCACCTCAGTAAATTCTGGTTGCCTGAATAAATACAATATAAAGTAATTACATATTTGTAGTTGTGGCTGTCTTCTAAATCATCTCAACTTTGGGTGCCCGGATCAGTGTTGCTAATTTCTTGCCACAATCCTAAACAACATTTTCACCTGTGATTTCCAAACACTGCACATCTAACTTTAATCATGACACTGTAGACACTTATCAAATAGAGGTCAGACACCAGTTCATAGGAAGTGAAAAAAATACAACAGGAAGTAATATTTTAGTAACTTAAAAAGTGGATTCAAGCCCCACGTGAGGACATGGGTTCTTCAATGTGCATCTGAGCAGGCAGACAGGAACTTAGCCTTAATGTCTCATCCAAACGATGGCTCCTCAGACCATGCAATGCTCCCCCAACATTACATTGGAGTGTCAACTAAGCTACGAGTTCAAATTCCCAATGTGGGGTTTGAACTCACAAGCTTTCTTTCATATATACCAAGGCAGCAGGCCAGGCAGCACAGGCTTAGGGGCTGTGAAGGTCAATTTCAAGATCTACAATAGGAAGTATTTTCTATCATGAAGGAGAAATTGTAATAATTCTCTATCAAAACTCAGGTGTTAGTAAATTTCTTTGTATTCTCAACTCAGAACACTCCAATTTGTCCCAATTCCAGTGTCCTTTTGTATTTGTCTTTATTTCATTGGCTCTTTCCTAATTGCCTTTTACTTCTTCATGGGATATCCTACATAAAATAGATTAGGCTAGTAAGAAGGATTATAGTGGTAAGGACACTCAGTTAATTCAAGAAACAGATTTATTGCAAAACTGGAAGGCAGTAGGGTAGATACTCTGGAAGGATTAAATCACCTGGCCTATCCATTTATACGGTTCTTGTGATAACAACTTGCATTTATATAGTGCCCTTCACACCGGCTAGCGTACCGGAGCGCTTCACAGTGGCGGAGTCTGACAACGAGTCAAGGGAGGAGGGAGGTGACCGTAAGCACAATCAAAAGTAAGATTACTTTCTTACCTATTATACACAGGCCGTTCTTTGCTTTTGTAAGAACAGCATTGAGTTGGTATGAGTCTGTTAAACTACCAAGATTGTTTTGTAACCATGATTTGCTTGGTCTGTTTTCTATTTCTGAAAAAGGAAGTGACCGGACCGTTGACAATATAACGTAGTCCCATTTATAGCCTGTAACAATAATAACAATAAGTTAATTTAAACTCCAACAGCTGCATTTGAAAATTGATTGAACTCATTGGAAATTGATTAATCTATGTAATATGAACGTTACATATTCTAAATAAAGCAGGCATCTGACTAACAGCATTATATAAACATTCAAACTCAAAATAACTTCAAATGAGATACGTTTGTCACCCTATTTCTGTGCTTTATTTATTGGGCCCAGGTACAATCAGTGACATATCCAATGTCACAGAATCATGGAATGGGACAAAAGCAGAGGGATGAAAGTTGGAACAGGAAAGGGTGCTTCACTGCATAGTTAAGTTTGTATAGAGAGAAAGATTGAATTGTGGATTTAGATAATAAAATCACAGAATCATATATTACAATACAGAAGGAGGCCATTCGGTCCATCGTGCCTGTGCCAGCTCTTTGGAAGAGCTACCTAATCAGTCCCACTGCCCTTTTCTATCCCATATCATTGCAAATTTTTCCTCTTCAAGTACCTATCCAATTCCCTTTTGATAGTTTTGATAGTTGATATGTTTCCACCGCCCTTTTCAGGCAGTGCATTCCAGACCATAACCACTCTCTTTCACACCACAAAAAATGACCACTGGGTGAATTAATCTAATTAAAACTCTTATGATTGGTACAATTCAAAACCGATTATGAACATTCAATCCATCAGTTTCTATTTTCAAAAGGCCACCTGATTTTAATACAGTACTAGATTGGCAACTAGTCTGATTATTCTGTGTGTGCATCTCGGGGGGCAGCACATATATGTTTTTTTTGGGAGTGACAAGATAAGCCCAAAATCCTATGGGCTTTGATTATTACAGAGTTGGTAAAAAGGGGAAGTTCAGGCTAATAGTGTCTAAAAAGTTTAAGTAAGAGATTTCCCGATGCTAACAGATATTTTCAGTTTGTTCAGAAGGGATTAGTTTAGCATAATAATAATAATAATAATAATAATAATAATCCTTGCATTTGATATAGCGCTTTTCACGTCGGGAGGACGTCCCAAAGCGCTTCACAGAACACACTGTAAAGTGAATTGACTGTATATTTGTGGGCGAACGCGGCAGCCAATTGCGCACAGCAATGTCCCACAAACAGTCGTAGATTGAAAATGACCAATTTATTATTGTTTTGGTTTTGGAGGGATTATTATTAGGCGTGTGGAGTAAGGAAACTTGCCCAAGGTTTCGCCCTGCCTGGAATTGAACTCGGGTCTCTCACTTGCAAAGCGAGTGCTCTAACCACTGAGCTACAGGAGATCCCATTATCTCTTCAAAGAGCTACAATAGAATTGTTTTACATGGTCTCTCTTCCATAAAGTTATGATTTTTTTGTCAGCCGGGTGTCTGACGCATGTGGAAACCCATCCATCAGCAGGGTATCTAAACCAAACTGATTTCCATGCAATCCACCTACACATGGGAAATCCCAGAGATAGATTGTTAGAATGGAATACTCCCTGGGTATAAAGTTATCCTGACTTCTTATATTTCTATACGTTCTCTAGACTCTTCATTATTCTCTCCTCCAGAATACCTTCCAATGTTTCCCTAAACAGATGTCAAACTCACTAGCCTGTAATGGAGGGAGCGCTGATTGTGTAGAACCTACCTGATGTGGGAGGGGATGGGAAAAGAGCAAAAGAGGAAGAGTAACATTATTAATAAAGACTCAATCATCACGGTTGAAAGGAGAGATATATTAACTTAGTTCCTATGTATTTAACCTCAGTGAAACAGAATAAAAAATATAATGGTTTAGAGAGTATCATTAACATTAATCAGAAGTGTAAAGACTGTTGCTTTATCACCAAATACGAAGAGAAAAACAGCATTTTCTTCGTTATACTTTAATTTCATCATTCATACTTACCTTTGCTGTGGAGAATTGGCAAAACTTTTATATTATTAAGCTTATTCTTCTTCAAGATTTGTTTGAGCTTTCTAACTTGGGCTTGGTAGGGTGTAATAATGCCAATATCTCTCTCCTTTACGCCTTTATGAATGAGATCCAATGCCCATTTAACCTTAAGGAAAATACAACATTTTAAAATTATTCTCTTTTTCACAATTCATTGTCCTCTCTACAATTGACATGCTCTCATACAACAACAATTTGACTTTTTAGCACCTTATATGTAGGGAGAATGCCTCAAAGCACTTTAAATAATGGAAACCTGAGCTTGGAAAGAGAACCACGGGAATTGACAGAGGTGCAATCAAAGAAATGCCATAAGATGAGTTTTAAAGCCAGGGTGGGGGGGGTAAGAAATGAGAGGGATGGGAAAATTAGTTAGAGTGTTTAAATGAGGAGAAGGATCTGAAGGAGGAGAAGAATCAGAGTACGGTAACAGGGTAAAAAAAAGGGGGGGTGGACGTAAGAACCATTTCACCCCATGGGAAGTGAAGATGAGCACTGTAAGAAACACAGCTCATGTTTCAACTGAGATCTACATTTGATACAAACAGAATAACAAAATACAGTGGAATTTTGCTGGATTCCGGTTAACCCCGGAGACAGAGTAATAATAATAATAATCCTTGCATTTGATATAGCACTCTTCACATCTTCTAAACTTCTCAAAGCACTTCACAGAATATACTGTAAAGTGAATTGACTGTATATATTTGTGTGGCAGCCTATTGTGCACAGCAGTGTCCCACAAACAGTCATGGATTGAGTTTAAAGTTTAATTTTTTTTATAAATTCATTTTTAATAATTTAATGTTTAATGGTAAATTTAAAGGGTAAATCAGATAAAACACTCGATCCTGATTCATTTTGTATTTTTACCTGATTTAAATGTCTTTGTTAATTTGGACACAAATCTGGTTAATCCAGGCAGCATACTGCACTGGTACACCACTGTATATTCTCACTTGGGCCTTCTGTGTCTCGAGCAGCTCCATTCAGCCACGAGCAACTCCGGGATACAGATGGGAAGAGTCACATTGAGACTGACGGCAGACTCCAGCCATTCACAAGCAGCTGGAGTTGGGCTGTCAATCAGTAAAGGGGCAGAGGAACATGGAAAAACGAGGGGAGGGAATGGGAGGAGTCAAATACCAATTGACTCCATCCATTCACAAACTGGAGCCGCTGGTGAATGGGTGGATCCCATCCATTCACAAGCGGCTCCAAGGCTGTCATTCACCTCAGAGCCGTAAGGCAACTCTACCCTTGTTCTTGTGCTGGGTAGGAAAGTATTTTGCAGGTAAACAAAGCTTAATATATTTTACTGAATTCTGTGAGAGTATTTTAACTTTAACTCCTAGGTTAAAATACTTTTGTGTCCTATTTGGTTAGTTAATATCGCTGCAAATAAAACAACATTGGTACATTTTATTATACGGTGCCTTTGCCACTTCTCTGCTGGGCGGGAATGGTATTTCGGTTAACCTTGGACGCCTATTAAGCCGGACAAAACAACCATCCTCAATGTGTCCAGCTTCCACTGTATAATACTAATAGAAATCTCATGAGTTAACTCCTCTTACAGCATTTGCTCCTTCTGCACTGTTACTCCATGATGCTCTGTTTCCTTCTTCAAATGTTACACAAGAATGTTCAGCCTGATGAAACATAATTAGACAGTCCTTCCCAAGTGGGTCTTTTCGTGGAGCAGGTTTCCATTTGTCTAACTCAGCTGTCTTAAGTTTTCCATGATAAAATTCTTCAGATAGAAAGGTGCAGATTTCTGGGTGCTACAAATAAATGATTCATTATTATCATTGCACTTATTAGATAGCATACTGTTTAAAGATCTCCACAGATATTTTTACCCATTTTTTTTTATTTTCAAATGACCAGAAATATAACACACGTCAGCGCTTTGTCAAAGTTAGCTCAATCATTATAATAAGCTCCCAATTAATTTCAATGCAGTGGGCAATATTTCACTCATCCAAAATTACTGACCACAAAATCAATTGAATATTCATCTTGTTATTTCTGCAGTATTTTTCCTGCACTATACTTAAAATAATTCACTGTGTGAAGTCCATTGAGACAACAACAACAGCGACAAATTACATTTGTAAAGCACCTTTCGCATCAGGAGGACTTTGGGAGACATTTCAATATAAGGTACAATAACACTGTTTATTCAGTATGTCTAATATTTTTACAACCTTTATTACAGTATCTGATTTTACTTTGTACTGCAGTTTTGAAGATTTGGAATAAATTATTCACAATACTTAATCCAAAGAATGTGTAGGTCAGAATTTTAATAAAATTTGTTGAATCATTCTGATTTTACTTATGGCCATAGAGCATTTCTGTTCATAATATTTACTGTTGTGAGTTTTTAAGTAGACATTAGATATTTTATGTAGATATCTCAATATTATCATTGTAAAAGTAAATCCTTTACATACCATTTGATATTGAACATTAAGCATCAGTGCATCCGAAACATATCGCTCAAATATTGACATTCCTAGACCAAGATTTTTAGCCAGTTCACTTTTCACATCTGGTCTCGATTGCTTGTGATCCCCAATTAAAACAACCTACAATAAAACAGTGAGCCAAATGCAGGTAAAATGAACCATAAGTATCATGTCATCACCCAAAATGTTTGCACTAAATAACCAATAAAACAAAATTCTCGTGTTTCATGTATCTTAATTTAAATTCAATCTATCCACAACTACAACAAATTGCATTCATATGGAGTCTTTTAAGTCGGGAGGACGTCCCAAGGTACTGAACTATCAAGTTATACTTTGATCATAAAAATATTAATTTTAGCTCTTCTATAAAATTTGTAATAAACATATGAATAGTCTTAATAATTCTGATGATTAAAATATTGAGTAAGACACATTCTAAAGTAGAAAATTTAAGATGAAAGATATATGCATCAAGTCTCAGAATATTAAAAAAAACAGTAAATAGCCATCCTTTGTGATATGTGACTGCATTTAGACATATGCATAATCATTATTCCAACAGTTGTCCAGAAAATATGCTAACAGTGGCCCTTCCTTTTGGGAGGCCATGCAACTCATCTGAAATGCAGCGCATTATACATTTCTTCTCTCTTCAATTATCTTTTCTTAACCTTCCTCTCTTGAGGTTGGTATAGTCTAGCTGTCTGAAAGACCTTCACAGAGTATTGTGGTTGTGTATTTCTAGGAAAATGTACTAAGAAAAGTACTTGCCCAGCCTCGTTAGAAATCATTGTATTGTGGTTAAAACAACAAATTTGGAAAGAAATCTCTCCCTAGTCCTGGAATACTGAAGCTAATTGTGAAAGACTAACTCCCCTGCTGTAATATAGTAACTTGTGCATACCAAGAGTTGCAGTTAGGATCTTCCTGGTGTGTGACTCAGTGACAAAACTGATAATCCAATTACCCACAACTTTTCTTTTAAGTGTTCTGACATCAATAACGTGAAAACAACCAACCAGTTCATGATGCACAGCCATCTTAACATAATTACAACACATGGAATAAATGAAAAGGTAGCAACACGGATAGAGGAATGGCTAAGACAAAATGGACTTGTAGCTTAGAATAGGTGGAATTTGGGTCTTTAAATTTGATGTAATTGAGGCTTATTGGGGTACACACCTGCTTTGCATTTGAGGATACTATAGGAATCAAACACTCTGGCTCTGTACATGCCTCGCTGTCATCCACAATGCACTGAAAGAAGTTTGTATTCTCTTTTATTAATGGTCTGGCAGCAGTTGTGCATGTGCATAAGATAATATTGTGATTTTTGATTTCGTTCACTTGTGCTTCGTGGACAAGCTGATTGTATCTGTAAGCAAACAAATCAAACCTTAACATTTGTACTTCAATAGGCTACATAAAAACCTTAAATGAACCAATCCTAAAAATTGCCAGGGTTATTAACATAGCCTGATAGTATTTTTCAGATATAAAACCTGAACATTTACAGCACTGAAGAACACCATTTGGCTCATTGCGTCCGTGTCGGCTCCTTTACAAGCAATCTTTTCAGTACCATTTTCATGCCCTTTCCCCATGCCTCTTATTATAATCCTTCCTATGGAATCGTTAACTTGAGATCAAAATTTGATAAATTATTTCTTAAATTCAAATGGACATTTGGGACGTCCTCCCGACGTGAAAGGCGCTCAATAAATGGAATCTTGTTGTTGTTGTTGTGACATCAGAAAAAGATTGTACAGTGCAGGACTTTACACAAATGCCTTATTACTCTCTGTTTTAAATTGTATAGAACCACAGTTTAGGCCCTTGGTCTTTTTCGTTCACTTGAAATTATCTAAATGATCAGTTTCAGAAAAATGTATTGTATTTAAACTACAGCATTTGCTAACTGAAAGTCAGTACGATACTAATTGCAATTTCTGTCTGAAATTGCACAATTCGATCTGTACCTGAAAAAAAGTTATAGTCCCAAAGGCCAACAAAAGCAGATTCGTTTCCTGATCATTTTTCAGGCCTTTTCTTGACCAAGAAATAACCTAGAAGGAAATCTTCAGCGGCAGATACAAATGTCAATTCACAATCTCGTCCGATAGTTTATGCTTTAGGAGCATTTCTTACCTTTCGGGTTCCTGCATCGTGATTTTTATTTCCATCAAATTTGTTTGTGAATTTCAGGTGTAATGAGTCTGTGTGTCAGCTTGACTCAGTGTCAAAAGGTTGTGGGTTCAAGTCCCTCATCGGGTCTTGAACTCATAGTCTAAGCTGAAAATCTAATGCAGTGCTGTGGGGTGTGTTGCATTGCGTCGGAGATCCTTTGTAGGTGACATTAAACCAGGGTCCCATCTGCCTTTCCAGGTGGATTTAAAGATCCCATGGCATAATTGAAAAAGTGAAGGGAGTTTCTCCCTGTGTCCTGGCCAACAATCCCCCAAATAAAATTGATGATTTGTTTAATGGCTGTTTGTGGGACATTGTTGCACACAATTGTGCTGTTGTCTACAAATACACAGTCACTCCATTTCACAGTACATTCTGAAGCGCTTTGATATGTGCTCTCAGTGTGATAAGATGCCATACTAAAGGTAAAAATTATTAGGATTATTTTAATTGGTTCAATGTCTAATTGCAACGGGAATGTAGCAAGTAGTCAAAAGCTTGTTTATTTTAACAATGTCTATGTGTGCATGTGATAGTCTAAAGGTTAATTATCCTTACACTATATTTTTGTGCATGCAGGAATCTGTTGATTTTTCATAAAGGAGAATGCTTTTAATGCTGTTTAGTTATATTATTGGATTATACTTGGCAGAGACCAAAGAAAAGATTATCTCTAGATTGACAAAATATGTGTTCCATGAAGCCAGATATTCAGTGCAACCCCTTCCCTACCCAAACACCCCTATCCTAAAAAAAAACTTCCCTGCACCCATCCCTGCTCACAAACTACCGCCTCATCTCCAACCTCACTTTCCTTTCCAAGGTCCTTGAAAGATGTTGTTCCTCCCAGCTTCACTCCTTCCTCTCCTGCCACTCCCTTTACGAACACCTCCAATCGGGTTTATGTGCTGCTCACAGCACGGAAACAACCCTGGTCAAGGTAACAAATGATATTCTGTCCATCTGTGACCAAGGCTCCCTCTCTCTCCTCATCCTCCTTGATCTCTCTGCTGCCTTCGACACTGTGGACCACTCTATCCTCCTCCACTGCCTCTCCTCTCACCTCAACCTTCCAAGTTCTGTCTTTCAATGGTTCAAATCCTATCTCTCACACCAGCTCGACTTTGTCAACATGAACAGCTTCTACTCCAGCCCCCACACCATCTTGTGTGGTGTTCCTCAGGGCTCTGTCCTCGGTCCTCTCCTCTTCAACCTGTACATGCTCCCTCTTGGTGACATCGTCCGCAGACGTGGAGTCAACTTTCACATGTACACGGATGGCACCCAACTCTATCTCTCTGCCTCTACCCTCGACTCCAGGGCCACTAATATCTTGACCTACTGCCTGTCAGACATCAAGTCCTGGATGAGAGCCAACTTTCTAGAGTTGAATGTCAGCAAGACCGAGGGTCTCTTGATTGGCTCACGCCAGCGCCTCTGCACCTCAGGAACTGGCCACATCAGCATCCATGGATGCACACTCCACCTCAACAAGCCAGTCAGGAACCTAGTTGTCTTGTTCGACCCTCAACCGTCCTTTCTACCCCACATCCATGCCATGACCTGCTCTGCCTTCCCCCAACTCCACAACATTGCCCGACTTCACCACTACCTTACCCCTCAGGCCGTCGGTGGAGCGAGGGTGGGTGCATTGGGGTCAAGGAGCCTGGTGGGGGAGAAGACATAAGCTACAGAGTTCTGGATGATCTGCAGCTTATGAAGGGAAGAGTTGGGAAGGCCAACAAGCAGGGCATTAGCATAGTCGAGCATGGATGTAATAATAATAATAATATCCACCTAATCTGAAAGGTGCTATACAAATATCATTTTGTATTGTATAGGTATTCACCACAGTTAGGATTTAACAAGGTTTCTGAGGTTTCCTCAGAGTTTACGATTTCCAAATTGGCATTTTTAATTGAAGTAATAATAGCTAACTATACTACTATGTCCTGCTATGGAATGCAAAGCGATTTTAACTTATTTTTTTATTAACTAGTTCTTGACTTGAGAAGTAATAAAATTTACACAATGCAATTCAAGTTACAAGGTGCTTACAGATATACACAATGAGATTCTTGCATATGTCAGTATGTTTGGCTGCTACAAATTGCTGACGGAGGTGGGATCTTTCTTTAACAGAAACGGAATGTACAAGTTCAGTAACATATGATATTGTGTGTCATATGGCACTTATAGTTATTCATGTTGGTAGTAAGAGGTTGAGATATGAATCATATCATATGAACCAACTTCAAGATATCGCAGAGACAATCAGAGACATAACTGGCTTTGTTGTTCCCTCAGCACAAGCAAATATCCATAAACCAACTGTATGGCAGAGCCCGATTTAAGAAATTAATGCATGGTTAGTATCTAGAGATGGGAAATCAACAATGTGGACTAAAATAAAATAACTTTTAACTTACTTCATGTATGCTACTTTTCTCTCTTCAGGACTGGTATAATCATTCTTTTTCAATTGTTGATAAAGCTGATTTATTTGTTCTGCTGAGTCTGTTCTGGACTGCCGGATCTTGAAGTGCAAGGCAATGCATCTGTAAAGCACAACAACGTTATTTATTAAAGGAGTACTCCATTGGCGCAGTGTAATATTGACAACAACATAACTGGACATTTAATAAGCCAATTTAACATTTAAAAAGTTGATCACCTTTATTTTAGTTTAGTTTATTATTAACATAGAAGATGCTTGCTAAAATACACAGGGAAATGGACAATGTCAGCATGGCAGGGCATTTTAAATTACTGAAGTGTATCGTGTTTCATTTTGTTGTAACTGGATATATATTTTCTCTCTGCATTGTAATTCTGCAGGGAACAAAAAAGTCCCATATTTTCCTTCATTATGACATTGTTATATTAATAGTAAGAGACTATAAAATATGTAAAGAAAACAATTTGCTGCTGCTATCAAGAAACACAAACATGATTATTTTGAATGTTTTATCTAGGTATTATAGTGAATGGGTGTTCAGTGTTGCATTTATAAGGGGTGAATTTTCCTCTTTTAGGAAATTTATCAGACTTAGTAATGCATGCTTATAATGGGAGCAGAGTTCCATTAACCATAATATATAGCTCCATCACAATCACAATAATGCTATTAAATATTATCCCTTAAAACTCTCAGTCTGATTTGGATACTCTTAAGCAGCATGACGGATTTCTGTGTGACACCCAGCTGACTAGAAAAAATTATATTATGTAACAATAGAAATAATGATGGGTTAATATTATTGATTTTTAATATCTGTTGAATAGTCAATGGTTTGGATTACTCAATGTACATTACTTAAGTTACTTTAAGTTCTCTTTGATGTAAGCATTGCTGTTTGCTTCTTTGGATATCAACACATCTTCCAATGGGAATGCGAGTTGTTCAATCCGTTCATCATAAACTCGGAGTATGGACAAATCACACTTTGCTTCCAGTAGTTGCTCTAAATGGTAAGTAAATACAAAATGTTAATCCAGTTATACCCATGTTTCAGAAAAATAATGCTCATTCAAACAAGATATTACTTTCATATTTCACCTGCCATAACATCAACAGATTTGTTTGATGGCCCGCAGTAAAGGATCTGTCGAGAACATTTCAATACTTGTTTGGATTGAGTTAATTGAATCCCACATGGCTTGTTGCGTTTCAAATAATTCAAAATGATATAGGCTCCAGCTGTGTTTTTCCCTGTTCCTGTTAAATTAAAAATGCACATTTCTTAAATAGGGATCAAATAAACGATGAAAAAAAACTAAAAAGTAACTTTTATCTACATAACATGATGCTAAACTGCCTCATAATCTTGCTATGTCTCTGAGATGGTTTGCTGTATGTTTCACAAAGAATTGATATTGACTCAGAAACAAGAGTGCTAACAACTGAGCCAGGCTATCCTCAAAAAAGTGGATAGCAGTAGAAAAACAGACTAACTACAAAAGCAAAGACAATGTAAACAAAATGATGCTCTTCTTCCCAAAATAAAAAAAAGCCAAATAACTTTTCATGAAAACTGCATTACATTAAAAAGCAAGCTTTTCACTTGTATAAAAATAACACAATTCAACTGAACATTACAGCTGTGTTTATTTTCTCTAATAAAAGTATCAACTAATTTGTGGTATTCCTGTGAAAAGTTCAATACAGCCCAATATGTGCACCAATTGGTGTTGCAGATACTAAAACAGTAGGGATAATTGTTTGGTCTGTGTGTGTTTGTGTGTCTGTCTCTCTTTCTCTGCCTCTCCAAGTCTCCCCACCCAACTGCTGATAACTCAGCTCCCCCTCCTCTGCCCACTGCTGGCAGACGCTATTAACCAGTCTGTCTCCTCAGGATCAGTCCCACCATCCCTCAAAACCCAGTCATCAACCCCTCCTTAAAAAACCTACCCTCGATCCCTCCAACCTCAGCCACTACCACCCTATGTCAAACCTGGCCCTTCCTTGCCAAAGCTCTGGAATGCGTTGTTGCCAACCAACTTCGCACACACCTCTCCCTCGACACCCTACTCGAACCCTTCTAATCCGGTTTCCGCCCTCCCCACAGTACAGAGACAGTGCTCGTGAAGGTCACAAACAATACCCTCTCTATCTGTGACAATGGCTCCCTCTGCCTCCTCATCCTCCCGGACCTCTCCGCCACGTTCAACATTGTTGATCACGCCATCCTCTCCACTGCCTGTCCTCCATCATCCACCTCAGTGGGACCACACTCGCTTGGTTCGAGTCCTACCTTACAGACCATCAGCACTACATTTCTGCAAGTGGCTTTTCTTCACGCTTCCACCGGGTCACCTCCGGGGTACCCCAAGGATCCATCTTTGGCCCCCTTCTCTTCCTCATCTATATGCTCCCTCTCAGTGATATCATCCATAGACACAGGATTAACTTCTGCATGTATCCGGATGACACTCAACTCTACTTTTCCACCTCCAGCTGCGACCCCTAGTCTCCTGATGTTCTGTCAGCTTGTCTGTCGGACATCAGGAGCTGGACGAGTGCAAATTTCCTGCAGTTAAATGTCAACATGACGGAAGCCTTACCCTTTGGCTCTCGCCGACATCTTCTGTCCCACGGTTCCAACCTTCTCAACCTACCCGACCTGTCCTTAAAACTCTCTGAACCCATGCACAACTCAGGGGTCAGGTTCGATCCCCAGTTATCCTTCCTCCAACACATCCTTCCTCCAACACATCCGGTCCCTTCAATATATGGAACTCCCTCAGCCCCTTCACCTCGCCCCTCCTTCCCCATCTTCAGGTCGCGCCTGAAGACCTTCCCCATTGTCAAGCATTCTGAGATGCCGCCCGGCGTAGAGGGTGCTACATAAATGCAAGTTGTTGTTGTGCGTATTTGTGTGTCAGGTTCTCTATCTTTCTGTAGTATGTGTGCATTCCTCTCTAATGATGTACTTGTCTGTAATGAATCTATCTCTCCACCTCTGATGGTTCTTAGTTCTGCTCCATTAAAATCATGACCCTTAATATATCAGGTGCATGCATACAACTAAAAAAAATCACCGACATTGCAGTCATGCACTACATTCTACTGTAAATGAAAGGAATCATCCTAATGATTGTGTTTAATGATTGTTGCATGATAGACAAAAAAATATAGTAATTTGTCTTACCTGGCGGTGCCTGAATCACGGTAAATTCTGAATTCATAGCTGTCCTCACTGCATTGCTTTGGGTTTTGTTGAGTTTCAGTAACCCTTTTTCACAAGAATTTATTTGATGTCCCGTAGGTTGTTCAATATCTGTCACATTATAGCTTATTATGAACATTATTTTGCACGTATGTTAGTTCAAAAAACATTCTATCAGAAAAAACTTTGTTTAGTTTTGTTTAAACTCTCAAGGACAGTTTAAACCGATTGACATTTCGACAGCAATTAGTTTGGCAACAGAATGTCAGAACCGAGCCCATCTTCTGTGGCAGTCTCGCTATTCCAGTTCCTGAGCCATGTGGGTGCACTCCAGGACACTGCTGATGTCACAGCCAGTCTGGCTCATCAGCAGGACTTGAAGGGCAAACCAATCACTGTGGGCAAGGACTCTTCCCATTCAGCTCATGTTAACCCTGAAAGCCAAAGCCGGAAGGGGTAGGGTGGTTCTAGCTGGGCAAGCAGCTGGAAAGCTTGCCAGACTATGCTCTCGATGGAAAACTTTCTGGTTAGAACCCAGCAGTATCCCAGCTCACACTCTGGGGTCCCCAAGCTTTGGCTCCTGCCAACCTGTGCCTCTCCAGAATTCAGTAAGTAGGATACGTTCCTCCAGGGAGAGAGTGTGCATTCCATTCCAATAAACATTTCTGGAATTCTCATAAATTGATGAGATGCTTGGAACTCCCAGTTTGGTTTGGATACTCTTGAATATGTGATGGGTTTCTGCATGTGTCAGACACCCAGCTGACCAAAATAAATAAATAAATAAACAAACAAACAAATGAGTAAAATCATAAAATGTAATATGCTGTTTACCTAGGTTTGGTGTAACTTTTCCAAGTGCAATGCGTCTGGCCAGGTTTTCATTTTTTTCTAGTGACTTGATAGCCTCAATTTTCCTTCTAATAAATGATAGAATAGGTTTACATTATTTTCGCATTAATTTGACAAAATAATTTGTGTGATTGTGTTTTCTTCCTTACTTGGAAAGTGACTTTAGTTTCCATTACTCAGTGATTGCAAGGATATTACAGCATTGTTTAAGTTTCAAAATACTAAACTTTACTTGCCCACAAACTCTGGTCTATCACATATTCCTTGACTCTGCCCCACCATCGGTGTCCGAGTCTTCAAACACTATACCCTCTACCCTCAATAGACTTTCTACATTTTATAATACTACTATCTCTACCCTCTGGAACGCCATTGCTAAATCCCTCAAACTTGGCCTCAATCTGTTTTTAAAAGCTCCCCGTGAAAGCCTCTTCAACTTTGACTGCGCTAAACTCAACTCTTCTTGCTGGTTATCTGACACTGACGCTGGAGTGCTTTGACACGTACTCTATATGAAAGGTCTATATAATTGCAGGTTGTTGTTTGTTAGTTAATTCACTTGAACAGGGCTACCACTGCAGTGAACCTCTATCTAGCGAAATGTATCTGCAGAACTGACAGTGCGAAGGGGCAATCAAATGATCCATTTGTACATTATCAATGAGCAAATCATTTGATTTAAAAATTAATCATCTGATACATACCTGTCTTCCATTCTTTGGGACATGATCTCAATTGTAGATGGCTGATTCGATACATATACATGAGGAGGAGCTTCCGATGCACAGTGATGTAATTGAAATGTCACTTCTAGGTAAGGAGGTATCTTTTCAGAAGCAGTGATGACGCAATGTGCAACCCATGTTGTCTCATTAGGGTTAATATCAACCAGTAATGTGGATTTGTGATTTGATTCGTTCATTGCATATGAATGTCGGATGCAAACTAAATCACCTGCTGTTATTACTTTCTCTAGTTTGTCTATGTCAGTGTAGCTACTGTCAATCTTGAAGCTCCCAGATGAAGGTGAACCCTCAACCCAATATGTTTCCACATTGAGGAACACCATTGGGTCATTTTGCATAACAGAATTTACAGCGGCCTCAATTTCAATAATTGGAATCCATCTCTCAATGTAATCTTTTATGTTGATGAAATTTGCACCTTTGACTTCACCACAATCAGTCTTTGTGAAGCACAATTCTGGATCTCGAGCGTGTTCAATGCAAATGTCTACTTGCTTGTTCAAGTAAACCACCTGGATGTTAGGTTTCAGGAAGCCACAATGCAAGTTTGGTGCTCTCTGCATTTTTAGCACACTGCCATTCTTTATTGTCATTGACAGCAATTGATAATCATTTGTGTCCTTTTCAGGCTGTTTTGATACCAGTTTGTGACTTCGCAAACATTTTTGGGAACAATTCTCTTTGTCTAAAAGTTCTCTGACTGTTTGGTGGTCACCAATGCAAATGGCTTTTTGCAATGCAATCCACGTTTTTGCTTGTACGCTAATAGTGTGCCCAGTAGTGTCCATAACAGTATCAGCAGAAGGAAATATTTCACTCTTATTTGGGCAGAAAATCTTTCTCTGCCATTTCAAGGTTAATGAACCATCCTTAAATTGAGCTTGCTCATCTAAACCCAAGACGGTAAGCTTTAGTGGAAGTGAATTCATTTTTTCAAATTGTTGATCTGGAAACAAAACACTCAGACTTGACTTTCCTTTCTGTATTTTAAAAAGAACAGCCAGTTGCTGTCTAGGATTTTTCTGCAGTTCCTCTGCTTCTTCCAGTTGTTTTGTCCGTGAGGAATATTTTTTGCTGTCCTCAGTTTTGAGGTTGAAATGTCGGCAAATATCATCAATCTCTTCAGTAGTATAAGGAGCTTCACTCTTGTTCAACACAACTGACTCCAAAAGACGATGTACCACAATATCCATATACCGTCTTATTGGTGACGTGAACCTTGTGTAAGCATTGACTCTTAAGGAGAAATGATGATTTGTATCAGGTCTGATTAATCCTGCACGAACCATGTAGGCTGTATTCCAAAAGAATTTCTCACTCTCTTGGGCAGCTGCCAGCTGGGGGTGGAGCTTTTCACAAAAGAGCAGGGTTTTCATTTTATCATAATGATGACATTGTTGGAACTCAATAAGCTTTCTCCACACAGGTTCCAGAATAAATACTTCTTTAAGTGAGGTGCTACATAAAGGATGTTTTCCGCCAGACATGGTATGCTCTATGCAGGATCTTAGATATGGAGATATTGGTAAGATTGGCTTCACAACATTTTGGAAAGCAGACAACTTTGAAGATTTAGGTTTTGGTTGAATGCAAAGTGGAGTGAGATTTTTGGTTGTTTCATTTCTCAGCAATATTTCTGCCACTGTTCTGTTGGCTAAAATCATAAGCTCCTCAATCATACCACGTGGTCTGTGTTCATCGTGAATTGTATTAAAGAGACTGACTAGATGCCAACCTTCTTTCAAACGTTCTTCTCTAAGACGATCTGCAAAGCTGACTACGATATTCATACATCCTTCGAAGCTGGTGGCATTCAGTATCTTGGGTGACTGAGCAAGAAGCTCTGCAGCTTCTTTGTATGTAAAGGCACGTTTGGAAATGATCACAGTCCTTTCTATTGTTGGCTTTTCAACTATTTTGAAATTTCTTTTGTCTACAGAAAACAGAACTGCAAATGCACATCTCACTGAATCTGGCAGTAAACTGCAGTGCACCTCACTGAGCTCTTTTGGCAGCATGTGAATTGGTTCACCTTTATGGCAAGGTGAATAGAAAGAGGTTGCACGATTCTTGGCTTCAACGTCAACATCACCATCTTTTTGTAAAAAAGCTGAGACATCAGCAATATGAATACCTATTTCATATTTTCCATCTAGCTCACGGACACTGATGGCATCATCGATGTCTTTGGAACCCTTATCATCAATTGTGAAAACGCAATCCCTTGTATAATCCTTTCTTCCTTTCTGTGAAGGCTGCTGAAGGGATTCTGTGCAAGAGAATATGTTTCCGTTTAACTCATACTGGATTTGTAAAATATTCATTCCATTTTGTTTACTATTTCCTGGCAGTATCTCTCTTGTGACAATCCCCAGAGGATAATCACATTGTGGAAGCCATTTCAAGCATTGAACAACAAAAAGATTGTTTCCCGTGCTCCTTGTCTGTACATATTTAAATCTTACTATTGGAGTTGAATTTGAAAGATTTACGTCCCAGACACATACACAATTTTTAGGCTGGTCCTTTTTGGTTGGGTTATGAATCTTAATTTTGTATCGCATGTTTACTGGAATCATTAAATTACAGTCATCAGAGTCAATGTAACAAATGATGTTCTTAAGCTTTCCAATCTCTCGCTTTGTGACTCCAATGACCTTACCATAAAGATCATCCTCATGCTTTTTTGTTATCCGCACCACAACTTCCTCTCCAGGAAAAGCTGTTCCACAGTTAATCCTGCCATTTACTGCAATGTCATCTACTGTTCCATCGACAGGGCAAGCTTTTCCACACTCATGTGATTTCAACCATAATTGACAACTTTTGTATGTTTTAGGTTCCTTCCTTAGCATACTGTTTAATTCTTCCGGGCTGTGTTCTTCATACTTCATGATACAGCTGAATTCATGTGCATTCTTGTCTGTTACTCTTTCATAACAGGCCAGTTCCACCATTCCCTCTTCTGAAACATTGTGGAATATGTTTTGAGCGCAGTCCTTTTCTTGTAAGGAGTGTGCCTCATTTTCAAAGATTTTGTGCAGCACAGCGTCCAGTATAAGGTCAGTTCTCTTTTCATCAATAAGGCTCATCATCTTTCAGTGTCGATTCACCCACAATGTGGTGATGCACACTTCCTGTTAATCAGTGTTGAACTTGTTAATGTATAGAGTTACATAAACTGAATAGGCGCCAAACAGGCTATCGAACTAAACTAATCCATGCCAGAGTTTACACTCCCTATTCACTTCTCCCTCAATTACATGCATTGAAAGCCTTTTTTTTAATATTCAAAACACTGCATCAATGTTCAGTGAATTGCTCAGCATTTTTAAGGCATTTAACATTAAGTGTAACTTGACATTTGTGATTTCTTACAAGCAAATTACCTCATAGAGGAATCTCAGGGTAAACAGCTTCCTTTTGCAAGCAGTGCACATGTAAATACCTCATACAACTCTGACATGTTTTTTGATCATGGGAAACATTATAGACAAGTTTTATCACATACTGATCTAATGTTGAGATATTCCTTCTTGCAGGGTTCCTAGATCAGAATCGAGAGAACTATCTGATTTTTCACCCACCTTATCTAGAGATGCTAAAGTGGATTACAGTAGTGTCTAGGAGGCACAAAAAAAAGGTCACTGGTACCCCAATGGGCCCTGCACGATCCATGTTGGTAAAACCATTGTCTGCAATGGTGGTGGGGGGGATGCCCGTCTTGGTAAGGCAGTGCACGCAATGTTGGTAAAAACAGGAGAGAACAACAATAAATTGCATTTATAAAGCACCTTTCATGGCAGAAGGACATCCCAAAGGTAGCACCCGAGCTGGGTGTTGGAACCAAGAGGGGTGGAGGACAAGGGGGGTTAGGTATGGGAGGATCACCAAAGGCATGGTCAAAGAGGAAGGTCTTGAGATGGGCTTTGAAGAAGGTAAAGGAAGGGGTGAGGCAAAGGGAATCCAGGATGGAGTTCCAGAGGGGGTAGGGCAGAACAACAGCAAACAAACAATAACAACAACAAAATTACATTTGTAAAGCGCCTTTCACGTCAGGAGAATGTCCCAAGGCGCTGGAATGTTTTGGGGGCCCAGAAAGGTTTTTTGGGGGTGGGGGAGAGAGAGAGAGGAACAAACATGCTTCCCAGTATGATCATTTAAAAATACAGCACATTAAATCTTTTCACCAGAATCTGGCAAGGCAGTACAATAACCTAGTAGTGCCCAGATGCTGCCCAGTTTAGATCAGATACCTCAGAACAGACTCAAATTTGAATTGTAACTCACTGGTCTGCATGGTTTAATGATGTACAAAGCAGTGCCTTTAACCACTAAGCCATTAAATATGAGTTTAATAATTTCTGATGAGCAATAAAAAGTTCAAAGTTTTAACGACTGAGGAGAGGCTTCCTTCAGAAGTATTTTTTGGATCAGCTTGGACCTTCATTAACGTCCCTTAGAGCCTTGTTAGACCCCATCTGGAGTACAGTGTTCAGTTTTCTGCGCCATATCTCAGGAAAGATATATTGGCTTTGGAGAGGGTGCAAAGCAGATTCACCAGAATTATATCAGGGCTAAAAGGGTTAATTATGAGGAAGGGTTGAATAAACTTGGGTCTCTATTCCTTTGAGTTTAGAAGGTTGAAGGGTGATCAAATTGAGGTTTTTAAAATAATAAAGGGATTTGATAGAGTAGATACAGAGAAACTATTTCCTCTGGTGGGGGAATCCAGAACAAAGGGGCACAATCTTAAAATTAGAGCTAAACCATTTAGGAGTGAAATCAGGAGGCAGTTTTTCACCCAAAGGATAGTGTAATCTGGAAATCTCTCCCCCAAAAGGCTGAAGATGCTGGATCTATTCACATCTTCAAGGCTGAGGTGGATAGGTGTTTGTTAGATTAGGATATTAAGGGATATGGGGCAAAGGCAGGAAATTGAACTTGAGGTACATATCAGCCATGACCGTATAGAATGGTGGAACAGGCTCGAGGGGCTGAATAGCCTATTCCTGTTTCTATGTTACTAAATTTAGGAGCTGTTTAATCCCTTTGTTCCTAGCACACAACAGAACAAGGGGACACAAGTTTAAAGTTGCAAAGGACAATTTCAGTACAAACAACAGAAAATATGTATTTACCCGAAGAGTAATTAATGACTGAAACCAGTTACCAGTGAGGGTGATTGAGGTGAGGATGACAACAACACAGAACTTGGACATACTTAAAAAAAACTAATTAATGCATTGCTGTGAGGATGTTAGGATAGGTATTCTGGAAGCAAGGAAGAGATCAAGTAGGCCAAAGGGCTTTCTTCATCTGAGCCTCTCTTGTGTCATGTTTCAAATACACTAAGTTATCAAATGTGCTGGATGTAGAAAACACAGCAGCTATGTACTTACAGCAACAGATGCCCACTTACAGCAACAGATGCCCAACCAGCAGGATGGTGCAGCTAAAATATAAAATAAATAAAATCACATTAATTGAGGTAATTAGTTTTGAAAGTTTTTGCTTAGGCTTGTAATTTAGTTTGTATCAGATACCACTGAACAGGCAAATTGAAAATATTTAAAGTCTAGAATCCATTTTTAAAAAGCATTTCAGCCTGGCTGGGTAGATTTCAGCCTTGCTCAATTTGGTAGCACTTTTCCCTTGGAGTCTGAAGGTTATGGATTAAAACTCTAAATTGGGACTTTGAATTTAAGATAATCCAATGCAGTACTGGGCGAGTGCTGCATTGATAGAGGTGCTAGTATTCAGCCGAGACATTAAACTGAGTTCTTGTCTACCTGTTTGGGTAGATATTAAAGATCTCATGGAAGTATTTGAAAGGATCAACTTGATTCTGATCTTCCTTTGGCAGCAGCGTAATCTTGGAACCAACTCAGCCCCCGAGAGGCCACGTTTAGCTTCCTCCTCCTCCCCTGAAGATAAGAACTATTTGGACATAGACATTTGGCTAGCTCTTTGGCAGAGCTCTTGCTAAGTGGATAGAGATACCAGGAAATTCTTGCCAGCTGCATGATGAACAACGCAACACAACATAAATAAAGCCTTCATTTTTCTGGTATCCAAATTAGACCATTGATAAATTAGATATAGCTGGTGCTTAGCAATATTTTGATGGAATGCTGAGCAGATTTATGTGCTAATGAACATGCCATCAAGTAAAAGATATAGACAGAACAAATCCACATATACTGTACTACCAATTCAATTTCCCAATGTATCCAATCTCTAAATTGAACAGGTCTGAATCTGTTTAATTGGCAGGATCTTGTCTGTTCCTTTTTTCAAACCCTTCCTAGTTCTTTGATCCACCATTTGTGATGATAAGTTCACCCAGTGTGCCCTTGCTATGGAACTCCATCCCAGAGTACTTTGACTATCTCTCTCCCTAACCTTGTAATAAGCCAGTCTCTAAACATATCTCTTTAACCATGCTTTTGATCATCTCTCCCCTCCCACAATGCTTGGCTCCCATTCCCACAGCAGTATCAAGTATTTTGAGGTATTTTCCCAACATGAAAGGTGCTTTATAAATGTACATAGTATTGGACTGTATTGCTTATATGCTGATTTGTATTTCTGATTATATTCCAGCTTTGATACCAATTTACACTATGTCCCAGCACAATGGGATCCATCCAGATTCCAAACATTCCTATGCATCTGTTGCTATAAGTACATTGCTGCTGCTAAGTTTCTACATCTTACTGCATTTGCTCATTTAGTTTCTTGCAGCAAGTAGTTGGAAAGAAACAGATTTCTTTAATTTGCAACAGGTCTTTTGTTGGAATACTGTAGGACACTCCAACATTGTCCAAATACATTTGAATACATTAGAATATACAGCACAGAAACAGGCCATTCGGCCCAACTGGTCTATGCTGGTATATGCTCCACATGAGCTTTCTCCTGCCGTTTCTCAATTAAGCCTTCAAGCATACCTTCTATTCCTTTCTCCCTCATGTACCTATCTAGCTTCCCCTTAAATACATCTTTGCTATTTGCTTCAACAACTCCTTGTGGTAGCATGTTTCACATTCTCTCTGTGTGAAGAAATTTCTTCTAACTTCCCTATTTGATCTATTTGTGACCATTTTATATTGATGGCCCCTGGATTTGGTCTCCCCCACAAGTGAAAACATCTTCCCTATGTCTACTTTATCAATACCTTTCATCATTTTAAAGACCTCTATCAAGTCACCCCTTACCCTGCTCTTTTCAAGAGAAAAGAGTCCAAGTATGTTCAGCCTTTCCTGATAGGTATAACCTCTCAGTTCTGGGATCATCCTTGTGAATCTCCTTTGCACCTTCTCCAGTGCCTCTACGTCCCTTCTAAAATGTGGGGACCAGAACTTCACACAGTATTCTACGTGTGGTCTAACCGAGGTTCTATAGAAGTTTACTATAACTTCCCTAAAGGGGAGGATAGATTTTAGGAAATACAGTTGTTTTTAGGAAAATACCCATCATGTTTTCCTAAAAACAACTGTATTTTCCATAATCTATCTTATCCTTACTTTGAAGGCATCAGTTATTAAAACTAAGCTGAGCTGCAGAAACTTTTTTTGAAACCAGCTGCACAATGTTGCCAGTGTTCTTGCCAATATCACAAGATTTACATAGATGATGATGCTCTTTGGCCCATCTGACTTCCTTCCTCTAAATCACCCACAGTGATGTCCTCCTGTTGCATTATCAAGCTGCTTTTTCAGTGAGACCAGTATCCTGACCTCAACTACCCTTCTTGTTCCAGTTATTAATTATCCTCTGACTAAAGAAAACTTGCTGGTATCTGTCCTGAAACTGCAACTCTAAACTTACTGACTTGGTGGATCCTGAAGTATTGATCTGAGTTTACTTTTTCAATTCCAATTAAAATTTTCTACATCTCTATGAAGTCCCCTCTGAGTTGTCTTCTCTCATTTCACAGCCCATGCTATTCCTTCAGTCTAAACAAACTTGGCAAAACAAGGTGCTGAAAGGACCTAACGGTTATATGGTCAGAATGCTTAAATGTAACTTTGGTCAACAAACTACATATTATGCTATCCATTTTAATATCCATTTGGCCAAAGTGTTAATATCAGCAGAAACTTTTATCTTTATTATTAAGCAAGGGATGAAATTCCACTTGCGATAGTTGTAGCAACCTGATAATGTGTGCTTTTAAAACAAATTATATGAGCATAAAGTCCTTATGCTTAATGACAAAAAATAACCTTTCCCCTTTAGGTGTCAGCCAAGCTCAGTTGGAGCACCCCAACCTCTGAATCAGAAGGTTGTGTGTTCAAACCCTATATCGCGACTTTGAACTCACATAATCTAGGCTTAAGACTTCATTGCTGTGCTGAATAAGACTTTAATCTTCCTTTGGTGAGATGTTAAACCAATGTCCTGCGTTCAGGTGGATGGCAAATTTCCCATGACTCATCAGTCCCCCATAAATTGGTCAGTCACTTCATGGCTGTTTCTGGGACATTGCTGTTTGATTCTCAATTTGCCTACAAAATACAATTTACCGTAAAACTACGGGGAATTTTCATTTATAGAAACATACGAACAGGAGTAGGCCATTCAATCCCTCCAACCTGTAGATCATGGCTGATCTGATACTTAATTCCATTTACTCGCCTTTGCTCCATATCCCTTGATACCTAACAAAATGTATCGACCTCATTCTGGAAAGTTTAAATGGGTACCAGCATCCACAACCTTCTGGGGAGAGAGTTCCAGATTTCCATTACTCTTTGTGTGAAAAAGTGTTTCTAAATTTCACTCCCAACTGGCCCAGCTCTAATTTCAGGATTTATATCCCCTTGTTCTGATTCCCCCACCAGAGGAAATAGTTTCTCTGTACAACAACTTTCACACGGCATAGCATCCTTGAGTGGTTATGTAGTTACCCTATAAAATCTCTATTATTTTAAACACCTCAATTAGATCACCCCTCAACCTTCTAAATTCAAGGGAATACAAACCAAGTTTATGCGACCTGGCCTCATAATTTAAGCCTTTAAGCTCTGGTATCATTTGGTGAATCTGCGCTATACCCCCTTCCAGTGCCAACATAGCTTTACTGAGAAACGGTGCCCAAATCCGAACGCAGTACTCCAGATGGGGTCTGACCAAGACTCTGTATAACTGAAGTATCTTTTCCACACCTTTGTACCTGCATGGTTGCATACTTCAACTCACCAAGCCAGTGAGGAACCTAGGTGTCTTGTTCGACCCTCAACTGTCTTTGCTTCCCCACATCCAAGCCATGATCTGCTCTGCCTTTCCTCACCTCCGTAACATCACCTGACTGCCACTACCTCACCCTGCTGAAATTCTTGCTTATTGCCTTCATCATTTCCAGGCTCAACTATGCAAACTCCCTGCTTGTCCTCTTTCCCAACTCCTCCCTCCACAGGCTGCAGATAATCCAGAACTCTGCAGCCCGTGTCCTCTCCTGAACCAAACTCCATGACCCCATCTCCCCCATTCTCGCCCGACTCCATTGGCTCCCTATCCTTCAGAAGATCCAGTTCAAAATCCTGGTCCTCACCTTCAAAGTTCTACATGCCCTCGCACCACCCTACATCTGCGACCTCCTAACCCCCTACCAACCCACCCGTTCCCTCTGCCCAGCCGGCTCTGGCCTGCTCCACGTCCCCCAACCCACCCGCCCCACTATTGGCACTATTGGCGGGAGAGCCTTCAGCCACTCTGCCCCCAACCTCTGGAATTCTATCCCCCAATCACTCCACCTCGCCCCCTCCTTATCCTCCTTCAAGTCCTGCCTCAAAACCCTCCTCTTCGACCATGCCATCAGCCACCCCCCTTCCCCTCCCCTTCCTTCTCCCCCCCTGACCCCAGCTCGGGTCTGAAATGCTGTACACTGTCCAGCGCCTTGGGACGTCCTCCCGATGTGAAAGGCGCTATACAAATGTAATCTTGTTGTTGTTGTATTCCAGCCCCCCCCCCCCCCCGAGGTCAAGGCCAACATCCCATTGGTCTTTTGATTACTTTTTGTATTTGTGATCTAGTTTTTAATGGTTGTGTGCGTGGATTCCCAAATCCCTTTGAGCCTGCACAGTTCTTAGTTTCTCACCGTTAAGAAAATATTCCAATTTGACTTTCTTGGATCCATAGTGGATGACCTTAAACTTCCACACATGAACTCCATCTGCCACAGTTTTACCCACTCACTTAATCTGTCTGGCCCTTTGTAACTTTCTGCTCCCATCTACACAATTTATTGTGTCTCCTAACTTCATGGTAGCTGCAAATTTGGACATACAACTCTCTATTTCTTCATTCAGGCCATTTATATACATATCGTGAAAAGTTGAGGTTCCAGGACACATCCCCTGGGAGCATCACTTACAATACAGAAACAATACAAAATGACATTTGTATAGAGCCTTTCACATCGGGAGGACGTTG